ATAAGACGAATATTTAGAAATTTAACTTTGTTTTTTTATTTATTTATTTATCTTTAAATCACATAATCTAAGCCCCATAAAACCGTTGCAATGGATTGATTGTGAGGTCGAGACTCGGCATTATAATTAAATGTTCTTATAAATATTATACAAGCGTTGAAACTTATATATATAACTTAACATTACATAACATCACGCCTTTTTATCCCCGAAGGGGTAGGCAGAGGTGCACTTTAATGCCACTGTACAATGTAACACCCACTTTTCACTATTTAATAAATAGTATTTATGTTATAAGTCCCATGTAATAGGGATGAGCCTATTGCCATATACTATATATTTGACTGCACGGTTGGCGCGGTGGATGGGCAACCGGCTGCCGTGCAACGTGTCGCGGGTTCGATTCCCGCACGGAACAACACTTTGTGTGATCCACAAATTGTTGTTTCGGGTCTGGGTGTCATGTGTATGTGAACTTGTATGTTTGTAAACGCACCCACGACACAGGAGAAAATCCTAGTGTGGGGCAACGTTTTCTAAAGAAAAAAAAAATATACCGGGTACATTTCCAGACTCCGTGCTACTACTGAGATTTTTAAAAAAACCAGTAATACTTTGCCCGACCCGGGAATCGAACCCGAGACCGGCAGTTGCACTTGCAACCACTCGGCCAACGAGCGATATATACATATAATGTAAGACATTTCTAGGTAATATGACTTAAATTTACGTTTAAACCTATTTGAATATGTTTTACTGCTTATGTCTACCGGCAGACTATTCAATAGATATGGTATTCTCTTTTTAGTGTTGCAATACCACATTTTCGCACTACTCGCTATACACATATATATCGTAAAAAATGTTTGTACATGCATTATATATCGCAAAATAAATATTAAAAAATTAAGTAACTTGCGTATATTTATATATATTACACCAAGTCATATGCTTCACCTTGATATATAGCTATGTAATATTTATTTAGACTACATAATGCTTGATTCTTTAAGTGCTGACTATAATTGAAGCTATTGAGCCTCAAGTAAATAAGTAATTATTTTCAAGTTTTTCAAGTTTGTTCATATAATAAATAAATAATAATATAAATCTTCTATAACATTTATTGCTCTTAAACTGTCAAACACCAAGCGGTCACCGGTGACCGCAACCTATTGTTCTATAATTGTGTCTATAATGACGGTACTCGACGAGTTAATCTATAAACATAAATCTCATATAATTAGGTATCCATTTGTAATGACAATGTACCAGTCGCTTTAAGTACTATATATATTATTAAGTGTTACTTATGAGTTTGTTCGTCGATATTCGGTTTTTTCATGAATTCCTAAGAGAATTTTCTACGAAATGGGTGATACATTTTAGGACTAATTTTGCTTTACTTGCTTTCTAAAAGGAAAATATATTTGAGCATTTTGTATATATTATATTATATATAATTTCTTACGAGTTGACGTAAATGAGTGATGATGTTGATATTACATTAAGCTTTTATTAACTTGTAACTGTTATATTCATCCATGTAAGATATTATCTTAATTACAATTAAATAAAAAATAGGAATAGTTACGACCGCAATTTTGGACGTCACTGTACTTTTGCACAGGATTGTGACGTCACACAAAAATAAAGGCTGAGATTAATTTACGCATTTGTGTAGATAATTAAATAAGGATTTGATTGAGGTACGAGAACAGATTCTCCTAACTTTTAAATTATGCGATGCCGGGGTTAATCGTTAGTATTATTGGATTTTATGTTTTTGATTTTTATACAATGTATAATCAATGAGTAATTCTTTTATATATACGCGTACATATAACGCATATATAAATCAATACAATTTTATTAGGGGTATAGCAAAAGGTCAGAACATTTATTTTAATTAGACCTAGAAGGCACGTTTGAACGCCATATGATACAAAGTGTCAGTTTGTCGGGGCTCGTATTAGAGACTAGGTAGGTCTCTTCGTTCTCTCGTAGGTCCTTTATCACTAAAAATCTAACTATAACTACAGAGTACTTCATCATTTCATAGCTTGGGAATAGCTGGACAGACTTACGGAATTTGTCGACTTGTTTTTATATTGCAATCTGACGATTAACATTGACGTTTCTTTGAAAGATTTCTTGCTCAATCTGGACCAAATAAATATGGACTATTTTTAAGTGAAGTTACTAACAGTGTAGAATGAGCATTAACTGCGTTCCACTCATCATGCCAGCACACTGCATATAATAATAATAATAAGCGTTTAATTATGCCTTAACTTTTTTAGACAACTATAGGGTTTCTAGCACGGTTAGTGACTTATATATTAGGCTGCGCACCATATCGCCGTGACCCCGCACGCGGCTCATAAGGAAGAGTACTTCTGTGACTCGAAATTTGTAGAACTTTTCTTAGGAAGTGTATGTGAATAACTGTCATTTTTAGTTTATTCGTTATGTCTCACGATAGCTAGAAGTACCTATTATAAAACACATTTTGGTGTTGAAGATGAGTACATCTTTTGTAATGGTGACTGTTTTTAAAAAGCCGGGCCGCGCGTCCGGATAAAATCAAAAGTCCGTTTACGAACGTAGTCAGGCGAGAACTAGATTAGCGCTTTCCCTCACCCATTTCAGTGAGCGCCTCAAAATCTTCAACAATTTACTTATACATTTTTCAAACATTAATGAAAAATTTACAAAAATATTCGGAGATATTCCCAACTTTTATGTCTTAATCTTTTTATCTGGATATCTTAACCTTACCTCGTCAAGTTTAGTACCGTCATTATAGACACAATTATAGAACAATAGGTTGCGGTCACCGGTGACCGCTTGGTGTTTGACAGTCTGGTTTGACAGCTGGTTATCCATCTCCAGTAATGGAAAAATATTAAACATATATTCCTTAGCCAAATTTGCGGCCTCGAACGATATCGAACGTCAACACTACGTGGTTTACGGGTATGATGTACGTGCCGACACCAAACACAAGCTTTTTGAGTCATGGGCTGCAGTGTGGGTAGACACTTCCAAAAGTAAAGGAGCCTACTATGCAAGTGTCCAGCCCGGCATCCGGCGGAGGCCTTGGTTTTCCAAGTACCCTAAGCTCCCCCGCCACACTGTTTCATCCTTGTGCAGACTCAGACTCGGCCATTGTAGTAGCCCAGTCTTCCTCAACAAGATCCGTGTCCGCGACAGCTCGCTGTGTGAATGCGGCCTTGACGAGGGAACTGTAGACCATATATTTTTTTCGTGTCCTTTAAATTCCCAATCTTTTGACCTTTATAAAAAACTCCCCAGTATTCAAATCCCACTTCCAATTAATTTCCACCTCCTTTTAACTCACTTTTCCCCTAAATTAATCCATTGTTTATGTAGATTCATTAATGATAATGAGATTAAACTATGACGGTGACATTTATGTAAATGGTGTATATATCTGTGTGTCTGTATTGTGTACGTCCCCCCAACTATTTTCTTCACCCCTGTACTCATACAGTAAAATAGTTGGTAATGTTTATATGTTTACTAACCCAATTGTTTTGTCCTTTCAGCTACTAACTACTAAAAACTACCGCAAAGTTAACTTCGACGGCTCATTAATCTGCCGTCACCACCCGACACTGGCAGTATAGTCGACAACACCGTATTGGAGACTCGGTTGCCAAGGAAAAAGAAAAAAAAAAAAAAAACCAATTAATAATGTCATTAATTCATCATATCGCGTACCTATTGTTATTATTAATTACACATTTATGCGGAAGTAAATTAAAACTTCAGCAATAAATATCTTCCTTTTTTACCCAACTTCAAAACAAGGAGGTTCTACATTTAAACCTGTGTGTGCGGGATTGGTTGGACGTATTTTGTTGCAGTTTTCAGAAAAATGTTTGTTACACTTTGAGTGATACCACGGCCTCACAGAAAACCGACGTGAAGCAACGCTTGCGTTGTGTTTCGTCGTGTGAGTGAGGTTACCGGAGGCCCAATTACCCTCCCCTTCCCCAATTTCCCCAATTCCTGAATCCCCAACGACCCTAAAAGCTCCTAATCCCGACAATGGCGACGTCGATTGGTTACCATCGGGTGATCCGTCTGCTCGTTTGTTATTTTATTACATGACTATGTATAAGAAAAAAACGCTATATATAGATTGTCTAGGTAGGTAATGTAAGTAAGATATAATAATCAATGAGCGCCATCGACTCGCAGTGCTAATATTTTGTCGTGAAAAATTCAGTAATCATAAATTTTTTACCGACTTCAAAAAAGGCGGAGGTACTATGTTCGGCTGATTGTTTTTTTTTTGTTTGTTCGCGCAGTACTCCGCCCTTTGTGAACTGATTTCCAAAATTCTTGTATTGTTTGAAAGGGTATGGAACCGACTTCTTACCTATCAGTGGGTGGGTAACCTATCAGTACAAATAATAGTTATTTTTTGCTTTTTAGTTTTGACTTTTTGTTTGTTATTGATTTTTGGTTTTTTGAAGTCGGTTTTTTATTCAAGTACATATTTAAGAGCGTTTTTTATTAGTTCACGACTGTATTGTCGTTTTGACGATCTTTTTATTTAAACTTAAGTGCAGATGTACAGTGTACTTAGTTCACTTATAAAATTGTTTAATTCTATAAATTATATTTGATAAAATCAAATATATTTAAACAATCTCACTGTGCATTGCTTGCTCGTATACATATAGTTTTGTTTTGATGATTTTAATTCTAAACTAGGATTCTGTTGATATAATTATTTTTATGAAATCTTTAAAAAAAATGTAAGATTGTATGGATGGTGGGTGGATTTTTATTTTTAAATTAACAAAACATTTACTTTATTAACATTAACAAAAAAAATCTTACCACAAAAACGCGTAAAACAAACATCGGTTTAACACAAAAATTTAGAAACATAAACTGGTTCACACACTTGTATCTACGTAGGTACAGCTAAAGTAGTAAACGTATAACCTCTTGCTTTTCAGTCGGACGAGCCAAACGGTTGCCATCAGTATTCAGTGCCACTGTGACCAGCATGTTGGGATTTTAAAACAATGTCGGCGCCATTATTAAGACAGGTATTTTTTCTTAAGTATTTATTAAATAAGTGCTTTCTGTGAGTTGATTTAACTTTATTTCTATGACACAATGTATGCTATAGATTATTCCAAAATATATAATTATGATCTATATTTGTGCAAAATTTAATTATGTTTATTTTTGCGTTAAGTATAATAAACTAATATACCTACATAATTGTTTATGAATTTAAAAATGATTCTGTCTCCTAATTAATATAACTCAATTTAACTTAATTTTATCTTGTATTGCATTTCTCATTAATTTTATTGGAGGTACTTATTTTTTTTTTCGAATGTCATGTCAATGTGTTTCCAAACTTACATTGTTGTGCCCGACAGGGTCTACATTTTGTCCTAATTATGCCATGCAGGAAATTTTATTTACTTATTGAAAATTCAATACTCGATAGATACAACTGTAGTGGTATATATAATAGTACGAAGTCATCCTGTGCCTATCGGTATGCGCTTAATTAAAAAAAATCTGATTTTTATGCCATTTTCATCAGTGGTTAGATTAATTTTTGGATATAAGTAAGTATAATTGGTTTGTTTAATTTTTTTATTTCAACGTTGCCCCACATTAGTATTTTCTCCTGTGTCGTGGGTGCGTTTACAAACATACAAGTTCATATACACATGACACCCAGACCAGAAACAACAATTTGTGGATCACACATTGTTCCGTGCGGGAATCGAACCCACGACACGTTGCACGGCAGCCGGTTGCTCAACCACCGCATTAACCTAAATAAACTAATTAAATAATAATTGAAACTAAATAATTAGATAATGCTTTACAGTATTTTCTATTTTATTAGTCTAAAAATGATGAAGAATTATGATTAAATCAAATGTTTATAGTGCTTTAAAGAATATTTTACCTCTAGTGTTCGGATTTTTAAATTGTTAGTAGAAAGTTCAAAAATGTTTTTTTTTTTACCATTTCGATCATAAAAAACCGATTGAAAAATATTGTTAGGGAAAATGTGTGTACCTATTTATGTATGTAAAATATCACTACTTGTTTAGAAAATTATATATTCCAAGCGTATTTTTTTTGTAAGTGATATTTCAATTGTCACTAAACTTGAAATTTCGATTTCGATTTTCGTTTGAATTCGATTGGCAGATCAAAAATAAAAAAAAAAATATTTCAAAAATGTACACACATACTATGTAGAAATAAGAAATAGTTAGTTCATTTTTTCTCACATGGTCTGTTACTAGAACAATTAAAAATATAAGTAAAGAATAAGTTTCTTTGAAATGCTGGCGTCGGGGATCGCGGGACGATCTCCGGCCACCGTAAGAGCAGGCCGGTGGACGGCGAGCATGGGTGGCTCGCCGCCCGACCAGGGTGCTTACTCTTGAAACCAATCTCAATGTCAATGCAATTTCAATCCAATAAAATCTCAATAATTATCCAATTTCAAAACTATACAACCCCTATCGTAGCTGCTAAAGTAGCATTTAGAGTACGGAATATAAAACCAAACTTAATACCATTTAGTTCATGAAATATCCACGCAATACGGATGCAAACGGCGCTAGTGTTACAACTCAAGAGTACGAAATTTCACAATGTCAATGTCGATCGATCGGAATTGGATTCAAGAGTAAGCACCCAGAACCAGACCCGAGCGTACAGCGTGTCGCGTTCCGCGCGCCCCTCAAAGAGCCATCAGACCACCATGAATAGGGCCCCATAGGGCTGATGCCGATAGGGAACCGCGAAGGACTTAACTGGTTGCCGGGGCTCCGGCTCGAAGCGCAGGAGTAGGAACGGGGTGGTTTTTAGTCAGTAAGAGTCTGACACTCCCTCCCCACCCGGGCGGGAGCAGTAATTCGATGATTGTTTCCCCCTTAAAAAAAGTTCCTTTGAAATATAATTTACGTCATAATATATTATTAACACGTGATGAAAAAGATACAGCGACTCAAATTGTTTTCGTATTATCCGTGGGAATGAATATTTGGTAATTACAATAACTGAATAAAAATTTAATTATTGACGTAAAGGTTTTTTGATAAGTAATTGTTAATTTACATGAAACTTGAGTTTACATAACTTTGTATGCACACAAAGTGTACGGTGTAACACCTTTTTTCTCTAATTATTTAAAAAAAAATAGGTATCAATCAACAGGCTTACCAAAGGTCACTGCTAACCAAAGGCTTTTCCTCACACGGAGAAGGTTTGATCATTAATCGCCACGCTTGCTCAATGCGAGTTAGCAATTTTGGGTCAGTTTCCTCACGATGTTTTCCTTCACCATTTGTCAGTGGTGTTTAAATAATCTTAGAAAGTACATATAGCTCGGAAAAAGTCACATTTATACTTGCGGTTTGTAGGTTTCGAACCCACACCCTCGTACATGAGAAGCGAATGCAGGTAGATTGGGTAGTCAGAGAAAAAAGAATATACAAGATTGTGTGACAAAATTTGAAAAAGGTGTGCTAAAGGGCTCATAAAGGGGTCATCGTAAAAGAGGTAGAGAGAGGTTGCACGAAGAAGTCAGGAAAAGGTACCTTTTTTTTTGTTGACGGGGGAATCCTTCCAATGGCGCCTAGCTTTTTGGGGAAAAAGGCTCCACGGTGGCCACCATCCGCACTTGAAGGAGGCACCGGGTCCTCTTAGTAGACCAACTCCGGAGCTTCCACATTGCAACGCCTGTTACGGCACCTCCCTATGGAGACCTATGTTTCTCTCCTAGAGCCTCTCTGTGCACAGCACGGCGGCACGTGACCACTGTAAAAAAGAAAAAAAGGAAAAGGTACCTACCGACCAAAAAGGTAACATTTTGAAAAAGGGCGATTTAAAAAGCTAGGACTATCGACGAGAATGCGTAAATAAATTGATGAAACCACACAGGTATGTTGCAGAATCATGAAATCGAAGGAAAGGTGCTAAATCGGTCAGAGAAGCACTCGAGGAACGACCACAAACAAAAAGGCGTGGACAGGCCCCCCACTAGGTGGACCGAAGACACTTTCAGAGTCCTGGGGAGCCAAGGAATCTAAGGAGTGATGTCGTACGATGCGAAGGACTAAGAGGACGGCCCTTGTTCAGCAATGGATAGAAATTGGGATCCTATGTGTATTCAGATCAGTAGCAATGCAACCAAATAATTGTTCGGTTTCCTAATAAAGTATGTTGTTGCAGACATGGACGATGTCAGCAGTGCTGATCAACATGTTCGGGCAGGGTTTGGTGCTGAGCTTCCCATCCAGTCTGCTGCCAGCTCTCAGCCAACCTGACTCCCCCATCAAAGCTGATCTTCACACCGCATCATGGCTGGGTAAGATACCTGTATTTTGAAACTAGACATTTTTATTTAAGGCAATAATTATTATGATAGCCAAGTTTGTTCATTGAAAAGAGATCTGTGACCTGGTTGTTAAATGGATTACATAACATCACGCCTTTTGTCCCCAAAGGGGTTGGCAGAGATGCTCATTACGGGACTGTACAATGTAATATCCACTTTTCCCTATTTATGTTATGAGTCCCTTGTAATAGGGGGTGGCCTATTGCTATATACCGGGCAAAATTCAAGACTTCAAGACTACTTTGCCCTACCCGGGAATCGAACCCTAGACCCCATGCCCGGCAGTCGCACTTGCAACCACTTGGCCAACGAGGCAGTTACTACTAGCTAGGAATGTTAAAAAGATCAAAATAAATTACAGCTTTTATAGTTATAGGTATTATTATCTTTATTGTTTAAATATTAGTTTTGTAAATGCATGCGCTTACGACAACAACTTAGGACGATTACATATAAAAATATTATGTTGTAGGTATGTTTGTGATGCATTCACCAATAGAGATGGTAAACCAAATAATTTGACTACTCGGTCTAGTGCCAGTGCACACAACTACTCACGTGTTTTCGGGTTCAATATCCAGCACAAATATTTGTCTTCCACACCGTATCGATCATTCGTCTGTTGTTGTGGAAGAGTTGTAAATCAATAGACAAAAGTTTAATTAAGACCAAAAATATTAAGTTCTTCTGATATAGATTCTTTGTATTAGTATAGGTACATACGTCAAGTTTTTTTCAATGACGAGACATGTCAATGTGTTTCAAAAATACGGTTCAATAACATATCAAGACGTAACTCACTGGTCTACACGTCGTACATAATTTTAAGTGTAGCAATTTACATGTGGGAGAGCCATGCTTCGGCACGAATGGGCCGGCTCAACCGGAGAACCGACGTGAAACAACGCCTCCTCCCCCTTCTTCTTAAATCTCCCCAATCCGTGAATTCTCAAATTTTAATCCCCATAAGGTTGGTAATGCACTTGTAACGCCACTGGTGTTACGGGTGTCCATGGGCGACGCCGATTGCTTGCCATCGGGTGATCCGTACGCTCGTGTGCCAGTTTATTTCATCAAAAAATTAAATAAATTCCTAAACAAAAGCTGGTGGATAACGTAGGTATCACTAAATACATATTTGGTGGTAACAAGACTCGTACAAAAAATATCAAGAAACCAAAACGAGCACACCACCTGTGCAAATAAAATCACTAATAGGAATGTTCAAAAAACTAAATCATATTTATTTTATATTTAGTTATAACGTCATTAAAACTCTTTATTTTAAGTTTGAAGTGCTAGACTTCAAGCTATCTCTATTATAAACTAAACAATAGAAATTACAATTTTCAACGACCCAGGTCCTCTTTGAGGAGTGGCTTGAGAGACGCTACTACACCTGAACACACTGAACTGATTACAGTTCGCAGGTGGGTGTAGTTCACTACAACCACCAGCCAAAATGAGAGATTATGACAAACTCTCCTATGTATCTCAGATTCTCAGCGTCATGAGCCTCATTCAGTTCAGAAGAGGGCTATCGAGGAGGTTGGCTGATGAAAACAAATGGAGGATAAATAAAAAACTCTGAAGGAAAACGTTTTCATTATTTCGTTTTCCTTTGTTTTGATATCTATTAAGGTCCATTATAACTATACTATGACGCTTCATAAATATTGTTTAACGATGATCTCAATCATCAAACTCATTCACGTTTTTATATTGACTTGGTAACCTAATCTGACTTGATCTTGAAATACCATTATGTATTTGAGAAAATTTTCGCAACCTAACTCTATAGTATAGGTCATATGTCATGGTAGCTTTAAAATTAAAATTAAAAATTAAAAAAGATTTAAAATCACGGCTTTCACCTAATCCAAAACATACCTGGACATAGAATAAAAAATTGATTAGTACAGCAACTAAAACTGCACCATGTTGCGCAGTAACTGCTGCTAACGTTACTAACATTCTCGTTTCTATTATTCCAGGTTCAATAGTCGGTGTGGCTGGCATCCCAGGGTTCTTCATATCCTCATTCCTCATGGACATGTTCGGAAGGAAAATAACTCACGCCCTTGTAATATTACCAGCCATCGTCGGCTGGATCATGATCTACTTCTCTCAAGACATCACTGTTCTGATGACTGGACGATTTCTTGGTGGACTCTCTTCAGCAGCCACGGTCTCCTTAGGAGCTGTCGTGATAGGAGAATACACCAGCCCTAAATATAGAGGGGTCTTCCTTTATCTCAAGAATGCTTCCGTGTGTATGGGAGCCATGTTCATTCACATTATAAGTGGGTTTTTACATTGGAGGACAATAGCTCTCGTAGCATTAACTCCTCTTCTTTTTGCTTTCTTTGTGGTATGTACGTGGCCGGAGAGCCCAGCCTGGCTACTCTCCAAACAGCAGTACGACAAGAGTGAGAGAGCCTTCTACTGGCTCCGAGGAAACAATGAAGCCTCTCGTAGAGAAATTACTGACACCATCAAAGCGCAGAGAGAACGAATGGCAAAACCCAAACTGACACAAAGTTATTGGGAGCAAATTAAGGACTTCCTCAAAAAATTTACTCAAAAAGACTTCGTCAAACCTGTCATTATAACGCTTCTAGCTACTATTGTGCTAGAAATGAGTGGGAGACACATTTTCCCTGCCTACCTCCTCTACATAATGTCAGAAATGACTGGAGAGAAGTCGCAGTCGTTTTACTATACTCTTGGTTCTGATGTCATCATCACCGCGAGCGCTCTGTTTGCCTCAGTCCTAGTGAAAATGATGAACAGGCGAACACTGCTCTTCTCCACTGGATTTGCTGCCTTTGGAGTATTAATGGCAGTCTGTACGTATCTCTTCTTGGAGGCCCAAGGCATAATACCTGGTGGACGTTCCTGGATACCAATGTCTTTGTTGATAGTATACTTTATACTTGCCAACTTGGGCTGTGCACCTATACCGTTGGCTTTAGTGGGGGAAGTATTTCCCTTGTCGCACAGGGGAGCAGGATTAGCTCTTTCTGGAGTTTGGATATCTTTGGGTTTGATAGTAGGACTCAAATCAACTCCACATTTAATAGATAGCATTAAAGTCTACGGATTCTTCGCCGTATATGGAATCATCATGGCGATGTCTCTGGTAATACTCTATTTTATGATGCCAGAAACCAAAGATAGGACCCTACAAGAAATTGAAAATTACTTCAACTATGGAAGGTTCGCGAATGTGGATGATGACGATGAGGAAGCGAATACCAAGATGATTAATGAGTAAGACTGGAGATTAGTGTGAGTTTTAACTATGTTAATAAATAGTCAACTTGATTTTATAAAAACTCTCGTGAGACATACTAAATTAACTAAAAATCGCGGGTTACTCACGTGGATATTGAGTAAGCTGTGCGACATCGCCACGCCCACGTACGTTGCTCATAAGAAAGAGCCCCTCTGTGCCTCAAAACTAATAGAGCTTTTCTCAGTATATTCGCGTGAGTAACCCGCGATTTTTAGTTAATTTAATAGTTAACTTGCCCATGACTTAGTATAATTATACTTAAGTACTTTAAAGTAAGTTTAAGCAGTCATTTTGTAATAGTAGTGCCTGCCGACTTAGAAGACTAATCGTCAAATATTTAAATGGCACTCAATTTTGAGACGCTCTCAAGATTAGTTCTGTCTCTTTAAATTCTTTGTTAAAAGACAGAGAGAGTATGGTCTAAAATTTGAGTAGGTAGCAGTGTAGTATTAGATTGGTAGTATTATATTAAACAATTTGTGATGAATGAGTTTGTCTTTTACATTAAGTAAAATAAATGTAGCTATTTATATTTAAATATTGATTTTTGTTATTATAACCCTTTTTCATATCTACTACTTATTTCTTCAAAATATGCTTTGCTATTTAGGACATGTTCTTATGATGACATTCCATTATCCTAGCAAAAATTGCATCACGACGTAATGAGTGTCAAACATTTCGGAATAAAGTGGCATAAGTCATAAACTCATAACTCAAGGTCAGAAGCGACTTGCAATAAATCTGACCTGAAATCCGCAAAAATTAAAATTTAAAGATATTTTTTTATGGAATAAGCCGGTAAACGAGCAAACAGATCACCAGAGGCGTTACAACTGCGTTATCGGCCTTTTGGGGATTGTGAATTTGAGGTTAGGGATTCAAGGATTGGTGAGATTGTGCAGAGGGGTAATTGTGGGCCTCCGGGAGCTCACTCATACGACGAAACATTGCGTTGTATCACGCCGGTTACCAGTGAGGCTGTGGTATAACTCCGGTGGAGCCGGGGTCCATTCGTGCCGAAACATAGCTGTCATACACTTAATCTATGCCTTTTATAATAAAAGTAGGAAAGGACCAGTTGATCAAATCAAGGTCATGTTTTTTGACCTTACAATGATAGTAAGAATAGCATAAAAAGGTCTGATAACCTAGTATCCCCATTTGCCCTAGGAATTAGTGATTAATAATAATTGATTTGTAGATAATTTTGACTATCAACGTTGCTGGATAAGATATATAGTAATTATTTTTGACTACTCAACTCATTTTCGCTTTTATTTAATTGTATGGCGATAACTATTTTCGTTAACGGCCTTTTGCGAATTGAGGTTAGGGTCGACACTATGTATTAGATTCGGATAAGTGCCTTTACAAGGATTACCTATTATTTAACCTTGACTATTTATTTATTTGGTTATACGGGTGTTTTTACATAATTAAACTTGAACTTACCTTTAAACTGCAGTTATGTTCTAGTTCTATTTTTTATATTTGATAGGCCAACGTTTGACCGCTATCGCGCCTGGTGGTAAGCGATAATGCCGTCTACGATGGATCACGTCGACGCATAAGCAACCTATTCACTCGGGCCTTGAAGACGCCCAGGCCGTACCCTTCAGGAAACACAGACTCTGGTAAAGAATTCCACTCCTTTGTAACTAATATAATAATGTCACATAGATTACAGTTATATAAACAACACGTTGAGTACATCACAGCGTACTATTATATAGTAAAACAAAGTAACTAACTATATAACATCAATTAATAAAATTTTAAAAAGTAATACAATGAGAATGATGTAATAAACAGGTCAATTCATAAATATAAAAACTAATCAAGACCAACAGGAAATAACTAACAAAGTTATTAATGAAAATAAAAAGGCAGCTAATAAATAAAATTGAATACAGAAATATAACTTTTGAAGTTTGAACAACACAAAACTACTGAGCAGCATCTCTGAACAATCTTAGGGCAGGTTTTTCGAATCATTTATCATCATCATCATCACATCAGCCACGAGATATCTACCTTTTTTTATGGCATAAGCCGGTAAACGAGCAGACGGATCACCTGATGGTGAGCAATCGGCGTCGCCCATGAACACCTGGAACACCAGAGGCGTTACAAGTGCGTTACCGGGCTTTTGAGGATTAGGAGGTTGAGGATCGTTGGGATTCAGGAATTGGGGAGATTGGGGAAGGGGAGGGTAATTGGGCCTCTACTGCTGAACGTAGACTCTTCCATCGGGTGATTTGAAAGATCGGCCAGTTGCAAGCAACCTACATACATTCAGTAGCTTTCTCTGACCCCGGCGTCCTTTTCTTAATAGTTACCTATTTATCGGCAAATGTAACACTATGATAGATAATAATTTAATTATTTCGTCCCTTGTCGTTTATTATACGGACCTTGTGGAATCTGGAACACCATGCGTTTAAGCGTTTTTGCCATACATATTATTGGAAGCAAGTATAACAGCTCACACATAGGACCCACTTAATTGAGCGACTGGGCTTCTCCCGGTTGCGTAGCCTCTTTTTGCCTTTAGACTTACGTCATTTTTTCCTCTGCATTAAATTCACTGAGGGAAGTGGAAACTATGGTTGTTTTCTTGTCTAATAATATCTTTTGATTTTTATCGTTGCGGGATCCAAGATAGTACATCCCTGAGACGCGCTGGACTTCTGTGTTCCGGTATTTTCGTAGTATCTACTTATTACAGAAGTTGCAGCGGTTTTGGAAGGTTGTGACTTTTCTTATTATAAAAAACAAATCCCCACCGATTTATCGGCTTTGAATAAACAAGATAAGGTCAAGAATTGTTTTAGGTTGGGTCTGGCAGAAGACTGGAGCAAGAAACCCGGATTTATTAGTGTGCACCTGGGCGTACGTTACGGTATCATCATGATCATCATATCAGCCATAGAACGCCCACTGCTGAACATCGGCCTCCCCCAATGACTTCCAGATAGAGACCGGCATTTAGCGGTTCTCTGCGACCTTAATCGAGTAGTCTATTCACCTTGCGAGTGGACGTCCTATGCTGCTTCGTTACGGTATACGCCAATTAAAATAATTCATAGATTTTTAACTTAATTACAAATGTTCGAAGGTTGAAAATCATACATACATACATACATACATAACTTCACACCTGTCTCCCATGGGGGTAGGCAGAGACTAGGGAACGCCAATGACTACGGTTTTTACATACCTCTTTCGCTTCAATAACAGTCATCAATCTATTCATGCATGCTCGTCGGTTAAGGGTACTTTTAATTTGGCCCTTCTTTAATAATAATAGGTTGAAAATCAATCTAATAAAATCTTTGATTTAGCGATCGAATTGGGACTATCGGTCCAGTTTGATTTGGTTTCTTACAGTCATTGATAAAATAAGCAAGTATCTGACAACTGGCAACGAAAATTTTAATGTAAATTGAATTCTCTTGTGTCAATTTGCCCACAAATTACCGACTATGAGTAATTGATTGTCTACACTGCTATCACTGGAACCCGTCTATAAAATATTATGACAGCATGCACATGTCCTTTATCTGCTAGATAACCAATCATAAGATGATGATGTAAAGATAGTATCTGCAACAAACAAACGGATTAAACCCACGGAGGGGAGAAGAGATAAAAGTAATTTATAGACTGAAGTATGTATGATTTAATTAGAAAACGGATCTCATGAAAACAATTATATACAGATAAATAAAATTGGAGTGTCTGTTGTAATATTAAAAGAACCTTTTTGTCTGTCTGTCTGTTTGTACTGTCTATACCTCAGGAACGGCTGAACCGATTTTACAAGACTTTTTTGGCAGTTAGCTGATGTACTAGAGTGTAACATAAGCTACTTTTATTTTGGAAAATTGAAATTTATTTATTTATTTATTTAAATAGGTATTTTTTTTAAGGGGGAAAATCATCGAATGACTGCTCCCGCCTGGGTGAGACGGAAGGGAGTGTCAGACTCTTACTGACTAAAAACCACCCCGTTCCTTCTCCTACACGTCGAGTCGTCGAGCCCCGGTTACCCGTTAGGTTCTCCGCGACATTTAAATAGGTATACCAACAGCTTCTGTATACATAGTATTAAGTGATTATGAAAGGAACTATAAGTATTAGGCTTATACAGTCGCCAATTTTTATTTTTGAAATAAAGAAGTTATGTTATAAAATTCATATTCTACGCAGACGAAGTCGCGGGCAACAGCTAGTAGGAAATATAACTTTACTTTTAAAAATTCAAAACAAGATTTAGGAGATTCAATGAAATTCTCAAAATGAGGATATTATTATATTGATGGGGATATATGAATGAGAATGACGAGTATATTGCTTGTATATTAAAGTTTTGGGAAATATTTGGGATATGTAGCATGACAACAACAACATAACATCACGCCTTTTATCCCCGAAGGGGTAGGCAGAGGTGCACATTATGCCAATGTTCAATGTAACACCCACTTTTCACTATTTATTTTATAAGTCCCATGTAATAGGGGGTGAGTCTATTGCCATATACTGGGCAGATATAGAGGTATGTAGCATGAATATTTATAAATCTACAACTAAACACTAAAACAGAACAAAAAAGGTATTGTCGCTTTGAAAATACAATCATTATAGACAACGTTTTTAAATAAACAAAAAAAAAACTCGTTGCTAAGTGAACTTCGACAGGCATGTAGGTATAATTTCATTCGACTGTCAGTTCGTTACGATAACGTTTAAAAAATGATTTGATAAACAATCATAAATCTATCTATTCTATACATTTAATAAAATCATAGAAAAGTCCTGTCCTGTCCTGTTTAGTTTTTTTTTAAAAAGAATACTTGAGGCGTGGTCTACAATCGATACCGAAGCCTAAAATATGGTTCGAAGAATTTTTGTCTGTTTGTCTATCTGTCTTTACGTATTTCCGGGACGATCTCCAAAAGTACTGCATGGATTTTCTTCAAATTTTGCTTGAATATTACTAACAGGTCAGGTCAACATATAGGCTACATATTATCATGCTATCAACTACGAGGTAGGAGCTGTGAATCACTATTCCACGCGAACGAAGTCGCTGGCAACAGCTAATCAATCATAAATAAGTAAATTGTTTTTAATATTAATCTAAGTAATAAAATTATGTTCCGATATGGGGAAAATAAAACAGTGACGAAGTATGAAATATGATTATAGATAGGGTGGTTATAAATCTTTATACAAAAGGTGTGTTAATACAGAATACATAAAGTCTATATTTCAAGGACTGATTGGGGTGAAATAAAAGATATCGCTAAGATATAAGTAAGTATATAGTACCTACATTTTCCCCAGTCTATATGTATTTACGCCAAATACTATGAGTAAGTTTTTCTAAGTATATGCATGGATATGACAGTTCAACTTGTTTCCTGAAATAGTGACGCATCACTGAAGGTTTCAAAATTATGAAACAAACGCAAGTTTTCCTACTGCACTCGCAAAAAGCTAGATTAGAATTATAACTAACTAGCTTGTGACCCGCGACTTCGTACGCGCGATCCCGCTTCTCCCATTCCCGTAGGATTTTTCAGGAGTTTTTTCTGTCTTAAGAACCTTCCTGTCAATATCAACCACAACAAAAAAATCAGCCAAATCGGTCTAGCCGTTCTCAAGTTATGGCGTGACAACGGGAAACGGGTTTCATATATAGATATAGATTATGTTTGAAGCTAATAAAAAGACGTAGGGATTTTTTTAAGGGGAGAAAATCGTCGAATGACTGCTCCCGCCTGAGTGAGGCGGGAAGGAGTGTCAGACTCTTACTGACTAAAAACCACCCCGTTCCATCTCCTTCACGTCGAGCCGGAGAGCCGGTATCCCGTTAGGTTCTCCGCGACTCCGAAACACATAGGGATAAGGATCGCACAATATGCTGTATCTGATGTTAATTAATATGCCAATATACCTCTAATACAAACACATATTTGCAAACATTACCTAAGTGATAAAAATTGAAATCTTTCTTCCAGCAGTAACTTAACGAAATCAAGTAGTGTCAATTACAATATGACTCATGACTCAAGAATATCGTCACATTCAAACGATGGATTTAAGATCCCCTTCGCAATAAATCACAGCAAAAAATTCAAACCTTTTCGGAATGTTTTAATTAAACAATGAAGTATTATAAACATAACTAGCTACTTCCGCGCGGTTTCACTCACTCTGCTCGGCGTCTTTTAATCGTAGCATGGTATTTTATAGCCTATAACCTTCCTCGATAAGTGGGCTACTCAACAGAGAAAGAATTTTCTAAAATCTTCTAGATCAGCCTTCGTTGGAGTCACTACAGTGTTGTATGTAGGTTAATAAAACAAAGACATGCACCTACAATAACAACAGCAGATAAACTGACTTATCTGTTTATTATGTCAGAAAACCCCTATAAGGTAATACCGGGTCGACAATATACGACTGACACGTGTATCCATATCTGTAAACCATCAAACGAAATGATAAAATCACCTGGAGATAAATTTGCACCAAGTGGCATGAATAAATTTAGTATATTTTTACGGAAAAACACTATACCGAAGGAGATTCCCTCCTCTCATTTAGCCACTAAGTATTGATATACTGAGAATCATAACCAGGTTTCCTTACGATCATAAGAAGATGCTATAGTCTAATATCGCCTCTATGTGGACAACAGTGGCAGTTTACAGAATGTTACAAATATATATAGAAGTAAGCCAAAAAACTTCGACAAATTGTATTTATTTTTTGGTAAATCAAAGGGAGATAAGAATATGAAAAATTTAGGAAAGTACCAAATACAATGTATTAAAAATGTATTACTGTTTCCTTTAAACCTTGAGTAAAACTGCATCTATTTCGATAAATTACATAACATAACATCACGCCTTTTTATGGTAGGCAGAGGTGCACACAGAGGTAACACCCACTTTTCACTATTTATGTTATGAGTACCATGTAATAGGGGGTGAGCCTATTGCCATATACCGGGCACATTTCCAGACCCCGTGTTAATTCGATAATGTATGCCACCATTATAAGGAAAAACATTATTAGGAAAAACAAAACAAGATATTTAAGTAAAGGCTATATGAAACTCAAAAAAAAAATGAACAAACAAACAAAATGAAACAAACACTGGCAACAAAAGACAATAAAGACATTATGTATAATTGGTCCAATAAAATCGTTTTATCAGATATTAGAACAAGCTGTATAATACTGATTATTTTGTCGGTAATTCTGTTTGTGACTATCACTGGGTTAGGATGGTGCCGCCTTTCTTTAGACAGGTACAGATTTTTATATATTTTTTTTCTAAAAATACTTTCTTTGTTTTTTCCGATTTAAAGTGCGATGTGGAATTTGGAATTTAAATTTGTTTTCGGTTCTAAGTGTGATTGTAAAGTGATATTGGTGTTTTCACGCATCCATAGCCAAAAATAGTGTTAGGCAATTAATGTCATTCTACATATTAATGTCAGTCTTTCGGTGTAACATTATGGTGAGATGAAATCAAGAGTTTTGTGATGTGATATTTAAAGAGTACAGTTATAGATGTTGTGGTAATGAAATGTCTTTCGAAACTAAATCTGAAAGTGCCTTCCAAAACATATACTGGATAAAACCGTCAAAATGTGAAGCGTCGGTATGTGAGAAGATGGGTGTGTCAGTTAAATTTTTTTATTATTACCATAGCCTTAATGTGATAATAAGAAAGGTAAACTGGTCTATTTTCTACCAGTCAGCCTTCTACCGGTCACTAAAGACGTAAATGCAATAAATAGTAACAATAAACTGAATGAACTAATTTAATTAAATAATAGTAAAACTTGACCTTCCGTTGCGTTGAATGTCTATTTTATTAACAAAATGGACGTGAAAATAAATAGTAGTACTTTAAATAACAGATGGTATATAGTATAGTATCTATAGTAATTAAATATTGATTAAAAATTAGCAGCTAAAGAATTTGTAGATTTTTTCCTACCACAAAAAAACAGGCTCCAAAAAGTGAATTATTCAATTTATTGCAGTCACAATTGCAACGCTTGCACACTAATAATTATTCTTATTTTGTGTTTAGACTGACATGTCTTTTATTCTTACTTTAAGTCTAGATTTGATCTATTAATTGACTATCAAATAGTTCATTTTTAATGACGGGGAGAAACCTTCAACATGTGCTTATCCTTTTGAGTAGACAGACTGTAGATTATTACGTCATTAAACTGTCAAACACCAAGCGGCCACCGGTGACCGCAACCTATTGTTCTATAATTGTGTCTATAATGACGGTACTCGACGAGTTAAAACCACCCCGGTGGGTGGACCCTAAGCACTTGTAAGGGGCACCGGGACATATAGACATGCTCCGAAACCCTCATGGTGCAACGCCTATCCCATCCCTAGAGAGACGGAGTCTACTTTGGAGCCTCGCTGTGCACGGCGAATTAAAGTTGCCAAAACCGACTAATGATTTCACATCACCTCACATGAATAGCCTACAAGTGGCCACAGCTGACCAAAGGCCTCTTCTCACATGGAGAAGGTTTGAGTATTAATCACAACGCTTGTTCAATGCGGGTTTTAAACTAATAATTAAAAATTATAAGACCAGTTTTCCTTCACCGTTTGTAAGTCATCATCAACAGCCTATATAGCCCATCAATAGCCCACTGCTAAGCAAAGCCTCTTCTCACACGGAGCAGGTTTGAGCATTACCACGCTTGCTCAATGCGGGTTGGCGATTACACACATTTAATTAGAAATTATAAGTCCAGGTTTCCTCACGATGTTTTCCTTCATCGTTTGTCAGTGATGTCTAAATAATCTTAGATAGATTTAAATAACTCGAGAAAAATTACTTTGGTAATTACTGTCGGTAGGTTTCGAACCAGCATCCTCATTCATGAGAAGCCAGTGTTAGACCACGATAAATAATAATTTAATCAGTTGCAATAATAATTGGTCTAATTATAACAACTATCGTGACAAATACTTGTGAACTATCTACATAATGGGTGTTGCAAACGCAATTCGTAATTATTGGCTGCAGTTTATCATTTGATTATGAAAGATGGTAAGAAAGGTGCATTATCGGACAATTAATTCAGACCTCAATTAAAGGTGATAGGTTTTGATTTGATTAACAATTGAGGTTAAAATGATTACTGGTGATAACCTGAATAGTGCTGATGAAATGACTGATAAATCCCCGTCATCTCATCATGCTTGTAATGGGGATCCAAATCTATAGATTCCTACTTTAATATTCGTTAATGTTTAAAGTTTTGGTATCGTTTATAACATAAGCGAAGAATAGGTCCAAATAATTTATTTTGGACAGCAAAAACAACATTGAATCGTCATTGGAGGAATAAATATAAAACCCATTTCACTCATAAACGTAAAACAACTGCATCAATTTAGATTAATTCTACTTTTGTTCTACATTGTGATCTTAATTAAAGGTCGTATGAAAAATGTTAGTCGATGTACCGAGGAAATTCAGAAAATAGCATTGGATCTAAACGGAGTACCCCTGGGTGATAGCCGGGGCCAACCCACAAGTAACATGTGATGTGTATAGACGTGGTTATTAATTACTTATGTGACATAACAAATGACTAATATCTAATTATAAATAGGAAATAAAATGTTTTATCAAAGTAGATGACTATCACTTACATGTCAGCAATTTGACAAATCCACCTAACTACATATTTATCATATTTTATTATTATCTAACAAATTCCATCATTACTGTATTGTATCATAACTGAATTAATCTGAGTTTATTGATAAAACTATTTATATTGACGCTCGTCACCTGTTCGTAGATAAACAGTTATGAAAAGTAGGTACTGTTTTAGGTGATCTAAGGCCAATTTTCAATTGTCATTTAATTCTTAAATGTAGATTAAAATTCACATTTCACAGTATCTAGGTCTAGTAAGAGTTTAAAAAGTGATCATTCATAGATTAAATTCAGCATTATCTATTTATCATGGCACTCCTCAAATAGAAGACTTACCGCTGCATGGCAGTGAGCCCAGCCCTCAGTTGCGACAGTTGTTGCTGCCACGCCCTTAAAGAAAACCTATTTATTATTCTATTATGCTGCTATACTACTAACTCTTATCATTAATTGTTAAATGTAATAAAAAAAAACTTAGTTGCTGCTGTTAATAAAATAAAAATAAATTCTTCTAACAATGTAAAACGCATTTGACCTATTAACGATTCTAAATCAAAACAAAGCTGTTTTAACAATGATAAATTACAGATAATTACAGTAAGTACTAGTTTTGTTTTCCAAAGATAATGTGAATTAAGATAGAAAACCTAGAAACATGAATATAGTGTTCCTCACTTTGAATAAACCTTTTTATCCTTAAACAAATCCAGCTGATCATAAACGTTGATAACTTAACTACTCAAGTAGATTTTGCAAAACACAGATTGCATTCGCACGTGAAAGGCATTCTCATCTAATTTAACAACTTCCATGCGGAAGAAAATATAACTATGTCGAAAAAAATCGGTATTTTATTTATTATTTATTTATTTATTTATTTATTATCACACTTACATCTATCATTACAGGTTTAACCTAATGTGACAGAGAAGCTACTTACATTAAACAAAACATGCAAACAAAGTTAATAACAGCAGTATCCTTAGACCAAACATACATACAAGGACATAAAATATATATAATTAAAACGAAACCACAATACTAAATTATCCTAATAACATTAATAACATATCACCGAATACGCTACCCTTGTGAAGTCACTCACCGAACAGTGAAACAAATCGATCTGCTCCGCTATTGCATTTAGTGTGCGTATCGCGCGTGTCATCGGAGCTTGCTTTAGAAGCTCGGTGCGGGCTGTTGGTACCACCAACAACTGCGGCCGTCGCCGACGCCACACATACCTATCCGGCACGCACAGCCTAAGCTCAGCCAATATCCTCGGATTGTGACATTTTCCACGTAAAAGATCATGTATTAAAATTGAGCCTGCAAGTAAACACCGAGCATAGTTCCAATTTTACGTTTAAAATATCATGATATTATTTTAGTTGCAGGCGTTTTAACTGTACCTATGTAGATACTCCTAATTAATGACCAATTCTACATCCTCATGTGTCGTCGTTGAATTATAAACACGATTTTCTCTCATACAAAGTCATTATTGTAGTCGAGTGTAGGTATATGTTACAATTATATTTATTTGTATATATCTCTGAAATATACTAGTTTGTCTTCCATTTGTTAAATAAAATCATTGCTTGCCTCTTGCACCTACCATTTACTCTTCTCTGAATCACCCAAAGGTCAGACTGGTAGAAAATGCCTGCAGCATTTAAGTCCACCTATTTGTACATTTTGTGCATGAAGCATATTAAATAAATTTAAAAAAATCTATGTTATCTCCTCAGGCATGGACGCTGTCAGCGGTCTGGACCAACATGATAGGACAGGGCATGATGCTCAGCTACACAACCAGCCTCTTACCTGGCCTACAGGATCCTGACTCTCCTATCAAGGCTGATCTACATACTGCATCATGGTTGGGTATGTATTCTAAAGATCATGGAGTTTTTTGATATATAATTACCATTAATGAAAAGTAGTCAAATTATAGCTTATTATAGTTATGCATCTATTCTCTTTACATGCAGAAACTTCCTCTGCTAGAACTTTGTATCTACGCATTACGCCAACAGCCTTTAAATGCCCACTCCTGAGCAAAGCCTCTTCTCATAGTGCGGGTTGGCGATTTCAAACTTATAATTAGAAATTATGAGTACAGGTTTCCTCACGATGTTTTCCTTCGATGTTTGTCAGTGGTGTCTAAATAATCTTAGAAAGTACGTATAGCTTCGAATAGGTGACATTTGTACTTACCGTTTGTAGGTTTCAAACTCGCACCCTCATGCATGCGAAGCGGGCGTCTTAACCTACGGGCCACTACGAACTTTGTATCTAATGTCTTGTAATTTGTTACAGCATCATCGGCTGGCCTATCTGGGATCCCAGGGTTCCTGATATCATCCTACCTCATGGACGCATACGGCCGAAAACTATCACACGCTATTGCGATACTGCCAGGATTCATCGGGTGGCTCTGCATATACCTCGCTCGAGGCATCCCAGCACTCATGATCGGAAGAATTTTAGGCGGTATGACAGCCGGCGCCACCGTCTCTTTAGGAGCCATCGTCATAGGAGAATATTCAGATCCCAAGTACCGAGGCGTCTTCCTAAACCTTAAAACAGCAGCAGTGTGTCTAGGAGGTATGATAATTCATGTTATTGGTCACTTCTTACATTGGAGGACAATAGCCTTGGTCGCACTAACACCGTATTTACTATCCTTATTGATCATCTACACATGGCCCGAAAGTCCAGCGTGGTTGGCGTCGAGGGGACAGTTTCAAAAGAGTGAGGACTCTTTCTACTGGTTAAGGGGAAAATCAGAAGCATCCTACAATGAAATGGAAGAATTAATAAAAGCCCAAACGGAACAGAGATCGAAACCAGTGGAGAATAAAACATGTGGTGATAATGTTGCTAGTTTCTTTGATAGATTTACCCAGAAAGACTTCCTCAAACCACTGTTTATTATCTTCATCGGCGCAATAGTCCTGGAAACTAGTGGTAGACACCTGTTTCCTGCGTACGCATTGCAAATTATTGGAGAAGTGACCGGCAATAAGTCTCAGTCTTTTTACTACACTTTGGGTATTGATCTGATCATCACATGCAGTGCTGTCTCTTCGTCCATACTTGTCAAGATCATGAAGCGAAGGACCTTACTCTTATCAACCGGGTTTGCTGCATGTGTGGTGATGATGGGAGCTTGTGTTTATCTGTATTTAGCAGCAGTGGGTATGATAGCGAACGACAAAGGCTGGATTCCTATATGCTTGTTTGCTGGATACTTCATCCTTGCCAACTTGGGCTGTACGCCGATACCTTTAGCGTTATTAGGAGAAGTATTTCCATTGCGTCATCGAGGAGTTGGATCCTCTGCAGCAGGTATCTTTATTTCGTTTTGTGTGATGGCTGGACTGCAGGTGACTCCATATTTACTCATACATTTAAAGGTATATGGTACATTTGCTGTCTTTGCTGGTGTTATGGGACTATCTCTATTGGTGCTATATTTTATTCTACCAGAAACCAAGGATAGGACTCTTCAAGAGATTGAGGACTATTTCAATTATGGAAAGTTTAAAGATAACAAGGTGGACGACGATGCAGAAGTTAAGATTAAAATGGTGAAGTGAATTTAGTGAATTATGTGTCTGAGTGATTATAAATGGATACAAAATATAAGACTGTGATTTAGAAAGCAAGTGATATTTGTTAATAAGGATTGGTGCATAGTACCATTAGCTTGATGAGATGTAAATCTAGGGAAACTAAAGCTACTAAAATAAAGATGATAAAAGTGTTAAGTTACGTAAAGTCGTAAGGTCTCGATTCCTAGAGGGAAAATATTGTGAATAGTCAAAGTTCTATTAATAATAGTAATAGTAAGTAAAGCCAAGGATACATTTGGGGACACATGCCCTGCGACACCCGTCGCCAGCGATGTAGGGTGAAGTAGCGCGACGTTGTCGGACTTTGGTTGACATGTCTGTCGACATCAACGTCGCTCTAGACATAAGGCAGACGGGAGCAGTCATACGATGATTTTCTCCCATTAAAAAAGAAGGCGCGCGTTGCGTTGTCGCCTTATAATATTAAGTCAAGTGAAACCGGCAGACTTCGTTGACATGTCACCGATGCATGTCAAAATCCTTGGCTTTATAGTTCAAATAGTGTAATACTCTGTAAAATGTTTAACGTTACAATAATTACAATTAACTGTATTGTAAAATACAATGTGTCTCGATCCTCCACTTGCAATACATTTAGTCATAGGACTAGCAGTAAATTAATAAACTTTATTGTCAACAACTCATTTTGTTTTCATCGTATAATTAATTATGATCAAAGGTTAGATATTAATATAGATATTAAGGCTTGTAAATAAATAAATGTTACCAATGTATATTGTGTTCTTTTTGTTTGCATTATTTTGGCTGGAGATAAGACTTGCTAACACTAGTTGGGTAATAGATGTGCACAATTTTCCGAAGATTAGAAGATTTGATGAAAGTGAAATGAGAATAAGGTTAAGTATTAGAGACAATTGACTGCACGGTTGGTGCGGTGGCTGGGCAAACAGCTGCCGCGCAACGTGTAGAAATTCGATTCCCGCACGGAGCAACTCTTTGTGTGATCCTCAAATTGTTGTTTCAGGTCTGAGTCAAGTGTATGTGAACTTGTATTAATTACATATATAGGAGAAAATCCTAGCGTGGGACAACGTTTTTTTTTAAAGAAACAATTCCTTTAACATCAAAATTGGATTCTTCAATTTTTAATAATATTAATTCTGATATCCTTACTAATAATATTATAAATCGGAAAGTGAGTTTGTTTGTTCCGCTTTCACGCCGTAACTACTAAACCGATTGCTTTGAATTTTTGCAAATGTACAGTTAGAAGTCTGGATTAAATAATAGGGTACTTTTTGTCCCGGGAAAAATTGATATTCTCGAGGGAAAACGAAATTATTGGTATAGATGGCGCTGTGTGTATTAGTATATGTCATATAGGCTTTTTATCCTTTTGTGACGCGAGCGAAGCCGCGGTTAAAAGCTAGTTATATATATTTTTGTACCGAATCCGAAACATAATGTCCAACGTATGCTAATGTGATCACTTTATGTGGAATCATCAAATGACTCCTCCCGTTCTGGGGCGAGAGGGAACATCAAACTCTTTTTGACTTAAAACCATCCCATTCCTATTTCTGCTATGAATGGGTAATATTATTCTATATTCCGTGGTAATATTGATCGCGAGAAAAATCTCGGCCGCAGAACATATAAAGAAGTTCCCGATCAATGACGGTCGAGAATGCGATCGAGTTCACTTTGAAGTTTTCAATTCTAAATTGACAGTTATAGAATAACTTGACTAATCCGAGCCGAGGCTTTTAACAATGGCGCTTTATCCGCAGACTGAGAGAGCAGGAGACTGAGAGACCGCAAAGGCTCAGTCTGCAGCCTCAATTCATTCCGAAGGCCCTTCGAAGTGAACTAACGATATCTCCAAGATGGCTGAAGCGGTAGAACTAATAGAACTTTAGATTTAGTTCAGTAGTGTGTAATTGCAGAAAGACATTGACAGCTTTGCAATAAGTGCCACATCATTCTACTCTCGCCATCAATAAACACTGCGTTATATCTTTATTATGATAACTGCAAGTAAATCTATATTTATCAGCTTTAGGTAATAAATAAATATAATAATTTAATAATTATATTATTACATATAACATCACGCCATTTATTCCCAAAGGGGTAGGCAGAGGTGCACATTATGCCACTGTACTATGTAACACCCACTTTTCACTATTTATGATATGAGTCCCATGTAACAGGGGGTGAGCCTATTGCCATTTACCGGACAGAATTCCAGACTCCGTGCTACTACTGAGATTTTTTTTAAAACCCAGTAATACTTTGCCCGACCCGGTAATCGAACCCGGGACCCCTTGCCCGACAGTCGCACTTGCGACCACTTGGCCAACGAGGCAGTCATTATATTATTATGTTTTGTTATATTGCTGGTAAGCCTGCGAATGCCTTGAAATAGTAGCGGAAGTATGTCTACCTTTCTTTAAGTGTGGGAGAGCCATGCTTACAGCCATGTACGAATGGGCTAGCTCGATCGGAGCGATACCACCGCCTCACCTGGAGATTAGGAATTTGGGGATTGTTGGAGATTAAGGAGATTGATGAGGGGAATAATTAGGCCTCAGGTAACCTCACTCACACGACAAAATACAACGCAATCGTTGTTTCAGGTTGGTTTTTTGTTTGGCCGTGGTATCACTCCGATCGAGCTGGCCCATTCGTGCCGAAGCATGGCTCTCCCACAACTGATAAAGCAAAGAGTAAGTACTTTCTACATTAACCTGTACCTACTTTACTCCTTGGTTTGTATGACAGAGGAACGACAGGAGATATGTCATGTCAGGATCTTGAAACATTTGGGAAATGTAAATAATTAAGTTACTGTGTAAGTTTCAAATAGATTCTAAGTATAGTTGAGTTTTAAAAGGTGACGAACGAGGAACGATTGACGAGTGCTTGATCGGTTTGATCGTTTCACCCAGAAAATCAAACTGTTTTATATCTGATCAAAGTGTAATTTTCCTTGTTAATATTGTCTTGTCTAAGATAAGTGTTTGCTTAATTCCATTCATCGATGGAACATTTGTTATTGTCTTTAATTATTTCTCGGGACCTTATAGACACTATGATATTCTATAGAATACTAAAAAGTGCAAGCGAAAATTGGAACAACAGAAATGTAATATTAAAAAGCTCAGCCACGATACAAGAGAGCATCTTCTATTGAAGTCAATGTTAACAAACTATAGATCAAGACCTTGTTGAAACTTCAAGCATTGGAGCTTCTATACCATGACACAAGGAATTACAAACTTCTCAAGGATACTAAAGAAAACCTATTCATATTTTTCTAAGAGTAGTGGAGTTGACCCACAAAAAGAACATGCTACATTAATAAGACTAAAACATCGTGGCACACTGAGGAAATAACCCTCAACAACCACTTAAAATATTATAAGTAGGTACTTGATGACCAAAGAACATTGGTCAGTAGAACATCAATTGAAACGCGCCAACCAATTAGAGAGCTTCGTTCTCATAGAGTTCTCATTTTAAAATAGACTTCGTTACGCCAAGGTCGCACTAATGAGAACACAATATTATAACATGTTGCTTTACATTTAGTATCTACATTGAGAGGTTACCCCTTATCTGCAGAGGGCCTTAGTAAATATGTGTCGAGAGTGGACATCAGTCGTGTGAACATGCGCATTTTATGATGGGGTGCTCAAAAACATGGATTACGCCATTTTTAAAGCAGGTCTGTTTATTTTCTTGTTGTGTTTGTAAACTGAAAGTAGTTGGAGCTTTTGTAAACAAATTGTATTTAGTTGTGTGTAATTTTCTAGTCAGTTAATTGCAAATCAGTTTTTGTTATTATTCGTTTAGTTACGTTTTACATTTAGAATTATTCTTTTAAATTTGTTTTGCAATTATATGTTGTACCTATGTATAATTATAATAAGGTAATATTAACACATTTGATGCCGTGTCGGACAATGATGACCGACGCTAGCGAAGGATTAGCCTTTAACAGCTTCTGTCGCCAATCAAAGGCTTAATAATATATAAAAGGAAAAATGTAGGCACATAAGTAAATTTTACGAATTAATTGTGAACATGGACTCATCGAAATAAACATAGGTGCCTATTGAAAATTAAGTAAGTACTTACATCTATACTAATATTATAAAGCTGAAGAGTTTGTTTTTTTGTTTGTTTGTTTGTTTAAACGCGCTTATCTCCGAAACTACTGATTCGAATTGAATAATTCTTTTTGTGCTGGGTAGTCCGTTTATCGAGGAAGGCTATAGGCTATAAAACATCTCACTACGATCAATAGGAGCCGAACAGAGCGGATGAAACCGCGCGCAAGTTGTTAGTTAGTAATAATTATATTAATTTATATTATATTAAAATTAAAAGTTATATAAAACAAAGTCATTAATGTACACAATATCTTATCTACTAAGTATTTCATAATAATCCCAAAATCATATCCAATTATGGCGTGCATCTCAAAAAACAAATACCCTATCTGTCTGTTTGACAAGAATGAGATATCTTCAAAAACTACTGAACAGATTTTCATTGGATTGATTCAATTAATTCATAGTTTTTGTTTTTTTATGGAATAAGCCAGTAATCGAGCAGAACGGGTCACAGATGGTAAGCAATCGGCGCCACCCATGGACTCCAAGTGCGTTACCGGTCTTTTAGGAAATAGTTTGACGATTGTTGGGGATTTGGGAGATAGGGGAGGGTTAATTGAGCCTCTGGTACCACTTAACCTTTATCCTAATTACGATTTATCTCTCAGTTTTCAACGTCTCGATTTCTTAGCAAGTCTATTAATTCCTAACCTGAATGATTCCAGTGCTTCGTCACTGCTGGCGTGTCCCTGAACATGGCTGGCTCCGGGCTGGTGATAGGCTTCACCACCGCCTTGCTGGAGCAGCTGAAGAAACCAGGGTCTCTCATACCCCTTGATGATACTTCTGGATCTTGGGTAGGTTGGTATAATTCGGTTTTCTTTAGTTTTAATGCTTATTAGATTAGATGTTGTTCCAAATCATTGAGGGGTTACAGAAAAGAAGGTGATTTTCTTTAGATACGGATTTGTATCGAAATTAAAAGAATAAAAATCAAATTATATAACGTATTAAGGTGAGTATTTAATGGTGGATAGATGGAAAGGGAGTATTGAGCACACAGTGAAAGAAAACTAAACCGCCACAGATACCCAATAGTACACATGCCCGACCGGGGCTGCGAAAATACGCAGAGAGTTATCATTTTGTAAGCAGGAGTTAGAAATCAGGTGATGTTTAGTCTCTAAGAGTATGACACCCTTTCTCAGCTCACCTAGGAGAAGTCATTTGATGATTTTCTCCCCTCAAAAAAGGTAGATATGGCTTAGTTAGCTGTCTGAAGAATGATGCAGGGGTTCCAAAAATAAAATAATTTTCCTGTGAGATCCAGAAACGTAAAACAAACAATGGGTATGTGGAATTTCGAATGGAGATATGTTGGTGTAACATTATACCTTCGTACATACCTACCTTATTTATTAGTCCCATGTAATAGGAGACCCGGCCTACAATCAACATATCTATTAAGAATGACGTAGGTATTCATTATTGGCTGTTGACCATAGTTTTGCACGTGTTCAATTTGCGAATATTTAGGTATATCGTAAGAACTTGGTATTCATCAAACACTATGCATGCTATGTTCTGTCAGAACGATTGTCGAGCGAGAGGTCTGAGGTAGATTCCCGGTAGGTGTTTTATTTTTCGAAATTCAAAATATGTACAACTAAATGTCTATGTGTCGACTAGAGAGTACTTTGTTCACTTCGGGAGGTAACCGAACTTGAGATGTCTTGCTCGGCATTCGCATTTGTGGTCAATCAATCAATGTGGTGGTTATCATTTTATGATGCACTAGATATTGTAAGGGGAATGATGTGTTTATTTCACAAGTGGATACTCATTAGTAATAAGTGCCTACTTTAAATTGATAGTTGCATGTGTCCTTGCAATGTCAACCTATCAGAGTTTTCTTCTTTCATTTCACGTATTTTCTTATTTTGTTGTATAATAAAATAATACTTAGATAAAACGAATCAAAGTTTAGGAGTGGGGGCTAAAACTTCATTTCTACGCATAAAACGTACATAGAAGTGACGTCACGCGACATTTCAAATCAATATATCGTCGAAAGTATTCGTTTCTGTAAGAAAATAAAAAATACGTGTTTAATGATTTAAAATAATCTACCAGACGGACTTTAATTTAACAATTAGGCATCTACCCTATTTGGTTCGCTTCCCATAATTCTAAATATTGTTTTAGTAAAATTATAAGAAATAGGTATCTAAGATTATCACCTCACATCACGACTATTACACCACATCATCACTATCACCTGAATCAACTCGTTTCGGTCGACGACTGGCTGGACATAGGTCCCTTAAAATTTTCCAATTATGTCACATTAGCTCCTATTAGCCACATTATACGCTTTAATATGTTTTACCGTAAGTAATTAGACAAGCACGAGGCACTTCTATAACCAGCACTAATCGAAATGTGCTCAAACAAAACGTGCTCCGCGAATGTACCTAGGTACTTGAGTGTATACCTAGGTCATATGTTATTTAATATAGGTACATTATTAACATCATAGGTATTGAGTCATTAGTCTGTCATAACATATTTTTTACCACTCTAATTCGTACCGCGGGTACAACTGCCTAGTTACTTGCTTACCCAGGTAGTCTTTGGGTCGGCTCAACGATACTCGGGAAATGAGTACCTAAAATAGGCAGGAAAATAAGTATTCGCAAATCTATGAGGTAAGAGCTCAGTGGCGTGCCATTGGAGAGACCTATGCTCAGCAGTGGACCAACATATGCTGATGATGATGAAATCCCTTATAGACTCACTAACAAAACCTGGATATTAGGTAGGTACATGAAACATCTGCTACTTCAGTACAAAAAACAGAGTACTATAAAACAGAGTCGCTATCCGTCGTCTGTCTGTCCCTATGTATGCTTAGATCTTTAAAATAACACAACGGATTTTGATGCGGTTTTTTTAATAGATAAGGTGATTCTTAAGGAATGTTTCTATGTATACATGCATATTGCACCCGTGAGGTGCCGGGGCGGGTCGCTAGTTTAGAATATATAGTATCTTCTAAATCGTAAATAAACTGTCACATGATTGAGCCCAGTGATATTTTATTTTATCAGATTGCAGTTATAACCAGTGAGTTAGTTTATATTTTCAGTATCTTTACTATCTCCTTGACCCCTTATCTTGTGACGAGACGGTGCGACCGTGCCATGAGGAGCCAAAATCATTTCAAATAATTTTAAGTAGGTAAATCCAAATTATTTGAGTTGATCATTGATACAAATTGAACACTTTTTTGTGGAATTGGTGCAAACCAGCAATTGGATCATGTTATGGTAAGCGATCAGCGCGCCAATGTACACCCGAATGTCATGTTCGTACTTTCTCCGACGCTGTTTCTTCTGCATATCAAAGATTTGCTGTCTGTTGAGGGTATTCATTGCTATGCTGATGATAGCACCGGGGACGCAACTTACACGGGCCGTGCAAACATCCCTCGTTCCGTTGTGGAAGAAAGCCGCGTAAAACTTGTGTCTCAAATCGAGAGTACCTTATGCCGAGTCTCCGATTGGTGTCGGGACCATATGGTCCGGTTCAACTCCTCCAAGACACAAGTTTGTGCGTTTACCGCTAAAAAACCCCATTCGTTGTGGCCCCTAAATTCCAAGACACTACCCTTAACATCTCCAAAAGTATAGGTATCCTTGGTGTCGACATATCTAGTGACGTCCAGTTCCGTAGTCACTTAGAAGATAAGGCCAATCTAGCATCTAAAAAACTCGGTGTACTAAACAGAGCGAAGCGGTGCTTCACGCCAGGACAAAGACTGCTTTTATATAAATCGCAAGTTCGCCCCCATATGGAGTACTGCTCTCATCTCTGGGCAGCAGCGCCAGCATAGCAGCTTGGACCTTTTGACGCGGTCCAAAGGAGAGTTGTAAGACTTGTTGACGATCCTATACTTACGAGCGGTATCGAGCACTTAAGTCTAAGGAGAGATTTTGCCTCCTTGTGCGTGTTGTACCGCTTGTATAATGGGTTATGTTCTGCGGAATTATTTGATATGATGCCCACGGCCACTTTTTATCATCGCACCGCTCGCCATCGACACCCGGGTTCACGCTCACTCATTGGAGCCAAAATTGTCCCGTACAGTTCGGTTTCAGAGGAATTTTCTCCCACGGACCCTCCGATTGTGGAATGAGCTCCCTGCAGTGGTTTTCCCAGTGGGCTACAACATGAGGTTCTTCAAGAGGGCGGTGAATAGGTTTTTTAAGGGTCGGCAGGACGCATGTAATGCCCCAAGTGTTGCAGGCGTACATAGGCCACGGTGACCGCTTACCATCAGGTGGGCCGTGTGCTTTTTTGCCACCGTCGTGGTATAAAAAAAAAGACTACCTACAGTTACTCGACGGTGACTTTGTGATTGGCTAGCTAAACCGTTACCATTGCAATAGAAATAGCAAATAAGACATTGTTCAGATATTTCTATGTTTCTGGTCTGATGCTATGTTAAGCACTGACATGTCAAATCCAAAATGTAAAAATCTATTTTATTATTTCCAGCGGCTATACCCGGCACGTCTCTGGTCTTCGGGAACTTCATCGCACCAAAAACGATGTCGAGATATGGCAGAAAGCCTGCCAACCTGATCAGCATAGTGCCGCTGATCATCAGCTGGGGAGCCATCTACTTCGCCAACAGCATCACTATCCTACTACTGGCCAGATTCCTCCAGGGAGTCTGCATGGGCATGTGCACTTCCCTAGGATCACTTCTAATTGGAGAATACACCAGCCCTAAGAACAGAGGAGCCTTCCTAATGTCGATATCAGTCTCCATAGCCATTGCAGTGATGTCAGTACATTCTCTAGGAGCCTACTACACGTGGCAAACCACAGCTTTAGTCTGTGGTGGCATCTCCATCATAGACCTGCTCATCGTGTTATATTCACCTGAGTCTCCAAGCTGGTTGGCTCAGAAAGGTCAATATGATGCCTGCAAGCAATCCTTCCGATGGCTCAGAGGAGACACCGAAGAAGAAGAACTAAGAAAAATGATAGAAGCCAGCATTTTGCTCAGAGAAGCTAAAGCAGATATGCAGCAAACGAAATCCTGGATAAAGAAGTTCAGGAACCAAGTGGAGTATTTTAAGACAACGGTGAAGAAAAAGGAATTTATGAAGCCGATTATTATAATGATACATATATACATATTGGGGCAGTGGAGCGGGATCAACATGTTGGTGGCGTTCCCTATAGACTTGTTCGATAAGATGGTAGCGAAGGACTGCAACGTAGCATTACTAGTGCTCACTTTAGACGTGCACAGAATAATAGCAAACACGACAGCGCTGTACGTGATACAGAAAGTGAAAAGACGGACTATATTGGGTGTCACAGTGTGTATAAATATTGCCGCTCTGTTAGCTTGCGCTGCATATTCCTATGCAAAGGAGACCGGTCACATTGCCGCGGACGAATTTAGTTTTGGGATATCCATAATACATGTTCACATGTTCGCTGTGGCTACAGGTTCGTTACCACTATGTTTCATAATAGCTGGTGAAATATTTCCATTAGAATACCGTAGTTTAGCGGGAGGTATCAGCGTGTTGTTCTATTCAACGAATTTATTTGTTACTATAAAAACTGCGCCATTTTTGTTAAGTTCTATTAATTTATATGGAACGTACTTAATATATGCGTCCTTAATGATGTATGGTTTATTAGTAGTATGGAACTTATTGCCTGAAACGAAGGACAGGACCCTTCAGGATATTGAAGATGAGTTCAGAGGTAGACCGTTGTCTCCTGAGGAGTTGAAGTCAGTGCAATCTTTAGCTTCTATAAGAGCAATCACTACAGATAGGCGATGTAGTAATCCAATAACTTTATAACTGTAGATTTAGGAAATCTTAGTGTTAATTAGTCAATTTTGCCTATCGACATACATTCTGAATTTAATTAGATTAAAGCTGACTAGTTTGATAGTATTAAGTGTGTAAGCAAGCAGATTATTTTCCATAATAGTGTTTATTTCAAAGATATATGTTGTCTGTCCTGTATGTTTTAATAACATATCGTAATGTTTTCAATACCTAATATAATGTTTAAATCGCTCTATAATTGAACAAATCACTCTAAGTATATCATAAACCATGAACCATGTGAGTAATTTTATTTTAATTGCATAATTGTATAATTAGAATTAAAATGCAGTTAATTTTGCAAATTAACTATGATTTGTGATTGTAAAATATATTAGGTATTTGTTGAAATACCATGTTATTTGTCGGAGTATAATAATTATTCTTAAACATGAATTTATATTGTATAACCCGGTCAAATTAGCTTCAAAAATAGGGGTAAGTTTTCGCACCTTGTGCGAATTAATGTAACCTTGAATGTTTAATTTGACCGGAATAGTAGGTGTGTACTTAACCCAAAACTGATATTGAATTATAAGTACCTAGGTAGATAATTGTGTAACTTAAATTGTAGTCATGACCAAAATATTATATAAAGGTAATCTACTTTTGTTCTAAATTTCAAGCCGGTTCCTTCAGCTGTTTTGATGTGAATGAACTGAGTAACAAAAATACACACAAACACGCACACTGACAAACACATTTTTTCCCATTTATAATAGCGGTTAAAGCTAATTTCAACCATTGGCTCTACAGTTACAGCAGGAACCTAACAGTCTACTAACTTGTATTTACGTTTGGTACAGTAACTGGATCGAGCCCCACAATTAAGTTTGTTTTTTGTATATTCTTATACTTTTTCGGGATGAAAGTAGTGTTACGTACATACAGACAGACAAACGTTCTACAATCACATTTTTGACCAGTTAGGTGCTCAATAAAATCCTAATTAATTAACTGATAACTAAGAAATATATAAACAAAAAACTATTTTTTATAATAACTATCGTGAGACATACTAGAGCTTTTCTCAGTATATTCACGTGAGTAACCCGCGTTTTTACTTAATTTAAAACTATTTTGTTTCTTTTTTTAATAAATCTGACCAAAATGACATTCAATTACCTATACCTAATTTAAGATAATAATATAGTTGCCAAAAAAGCGATAGTTATTGTAAATATTATTAATTTATTGTTCAATTTTAATATAGTTCTGTAAAATAAGACCTAATTGTAATTTGTAAGTAATAAACATGCCAAGATATTGTTTAGAATTTTTATTTCAATGTCGTTTTACGAACTTTTTATATTTATTTATTTACTAGCTGAGCCCGCGACCAGGTCCGCGTGGTTTAGTGATTCGCAGCTCCTCCCCCTTAGTTGATAGCATGATAATATGTAGCCTATATTACCGGACCTGTTAGTAATATTCATGCAAAAGTTGAAGTAAATCCATCCAGCACTTTTTGAGTTCATCCCGGATATACATACCTACAGACAAACAGACAAAAATTTTAATAACCATATTTTTGGTTTCGGTATCGACAGTAGATCACGCTCAAAGCATTCTTTAAAAAAAATATTCAATGTACAGTAGTCACTTTCGTACGATTTTATTACATATTATTTTATTACATAAATATATTTGGGATAGCAATAGCTATACGATTTGATTAAATAGAGAATATGGCATGCAAGATAAGGTCAATTACTGGTTTCCACGGTAAGTAGGTAACAGAAAATAGACAATATAAAGAACCTGAGACGGTATATTGCTAAGCTATGGGTCCTCAACTTAAAAATTGGTGCCAAAGTGCCATATAGTGTCCACCCTTCGCAGAGTTGCAGATTGTATTATAAAAGATCAGACCAGGTTTATGAGAGAGCACTACTACCCTGTCTTCGCAACACTATTACTTTTTTGGACAATTTCATAATCGAAAAACGTAATCAATACTTAATCTCTTGTAGCCGCGCTTGTGTCAATGAGACTGACTTCTTTTAGGACGAGACTTTTCAAAATCTGAATCCCACACGGATAGTCTCTTATAACAACACAACGATCTATTTCATTAAGAAATCGAACACACACAATTTTCGGATGTCGTCAACATCAACAGGCTATAAGTGCCCACTGCTAAGCAAAGCCTCTTCTTACACGGAGAAGGTTTGAGCTTTAATCACCACGATTGCTCACTGCCGGTTGGCGATTTCAAACTTATAATTATTAGAATTTATAAGCCCAGGTCACAATGTTTTCCTTCAGCGATTGTCAGTGGTGTCTAAATAATCTTAGTAAGTACACATAACTCGGAAAAAGTCACATTGGTACTTGCCGTATTTAGGTTTCAAACCCGCGCCCTAATGCATGAGAAGCATGTATCTTAAACCTCCAGGCCACTTCGCCATCTTAATTATTAATTTTAAGACGTAGCCGTGTCCAAGTAATAATAGTTCGGGTAATAGACGTAACAGGCAATATACCGCAAGTAGAAATACAAACAATTTAAAAAGCAAGTTTTTTATGGGATGTAAAAGAGCAGATGGATCATCTGATGGTAAGCAACTGACGTCGCCCATGGACACCCGAAACACCAAAGGTGCGTTACCGGCCTTTGGGGATTAGGAATTTGAAGATCGTTGGGGATTCAGGGATTGGGGAGATTGGAGACGGTAGTTGGGCATCCAGTAACCTCAGTCACACGACGAAACACAACGAAAGCTTCACGTCGGTTTTCTATGAGGCTGTGGTATCACTCCGATGGAGTTGACCCAATAGCGCTGAGGCATGGCTCTTCAACACTTCAACAAATAATACAAACAACATGATAAAAATAGAATCAATCATTTATTGTCATATCACAATTTGCTATAAAATACTGGTTTTAAATTACACTTAGATATAATATACATAATTATTGGTATATAAACATTTCGTGTCATATAAAATATTTTGGTGCAAACTTTGTGTTATATAATAATAGTATACAGGTGCCACGACAATACTATAAAAGAGTTCGATTCCTAGTTCAGCCAGACAATTATTTTATACACAATGAATGCAATTCGAAAGTCTTCCTTCAGAATAATTGTCTATCTTCAGTAGTATTTAAGGTAATTCCTCCATCTGACATTGTGGCACCTTGTATCTGTTTACTGATATATATTATGTATTTGCTACAGATTTGATTGCCATTCGATGTTATGTTCATGTTTTAGTAACACTAAAAATGGTTTTGAAGTCAAATCATATGATATTCCAAAACGATAGCAGATTAACACTAAAAAAAACAAAATTGAAAAAAATATACAAAATATTGTCAGTGATTTTTTAACTATCGTTGGCCAGCAAAATCCGATACTATTTTTATTACATAATCTTACAAAAAACGTCAAAATAATAATAAAAATGGAATACAAATATAAATTGATATACATTTTTAGAATAATACAATTAAAAATAAATTTTCAACCCAAAAATATCATAATTTTGAAGGAAATTTTTGGGTTAAATAAAATTAAAAGGAAATTCAATAACAATTGCTAATTACAATTCGAATACAGAGATTAATTTTAAATCTACAGTAAAAGATGTCTACAAAATAAAAAAATATATAAAATGCATAATTTTAGAGGTATACAAATTGAATATGACGTAGGGGGGGTAAAATACATTTATAATTTGTAATTTTATTCTATTTATAATTTTTAGTGTAGCATTTATTAAACAAAATAATTTCAGTAGATACAGTACCGAAATTCTATAAGAAATGAAAGAATAAATAAACATTTTGAATACGAAAGAGAATAAGTTATCATTATATAGAGAACATTATTTAGACACCATTGACAAACGGTGAAGGAGAACGTCGTGAGGAAACTTACAATTTTCTAATTCTAGGTTTTAAATCATCAACCCGCATTGAGCAAGCGTGGTGATTAGTGCTCAAACCTTCTCCGATTGAGAAGAGGCCTTTGGTCAGCAGTGGCCACTTATAGGCTGTTGTGATATGATTTATGACTTAAAGAAAACCCTTTACATCATATCCAATCCGTAAAAACAATAAATACATAAATAAATAAAAATTACGCTAATATCAACCTTATACTAACGCAATAAGGCCTCATTTCAATTCAATTCGTCTAGCTAATAGGTAACTTGTTTCGCACCTATTTAGTAATACTAATTGTCCGATTTTAATATAAGTTATAGAATATACATAACATTACGTCTTTAACCCCGAAGAGGAAGCCAGAGGTGAACATTACGGCACTTAATGCCACTGTACAATGTAACACTCACTTTTCACTATTTATGAGTCCCATGTACATGTACATGTAGGGGGTGGAACCTATTGCCATACACCGGGCACAAATCCAGACTCCGTGCTATTACTGTGATTTTTTTTAAAACCAGTTATACTTTGTCCTACTCGGGAATCGAACCCGAGACGGCTTGCCCGGTAGTCGCACTTGCAACCACTCGACAAACGAGGCAGTCATTATAGAAAACAGTTATGAGTAACAATTACGAAACTTTATATTAATTATTGTTGATAGATGATAAAAGAATCTGTATTATTAAATTTAAAAAAAGTCAATCTCCATAATGAGTACAATAGGTAATTACAATGATTTATCGTTAAATTTAAACAGTGCTTAGAAAGTAGTTCTTTCAGCAAAAAAAAACAGTATACACAGTAACAGGGTGTTAAAGGAACGCTCCCGAAACGCTAACGAAAAGAAATTGTTCTTACACCATTTTTAAATGTTTTTGTTTTCGTGTTATTCGTGTAACATCAGCCTTGAGCAGTTGATAACAACTATTATTACATAAAGGAAACATTTAATTCCATAGGTTTTTATAACAACTATCGTTAGACATACTAAATTAAACTAAAATCGCGGGATACACGACAATCCACAACGTCTGCAACGCTGACTTTGTGCCGAACCCGGAATCGAACCCACAACCCGCGCCGCTGGTGAACGTAACGTGTGCTTTAACATTATCCAACGCGTCGCCGGAGTTGGAAGCAAACGCTCGTAGTGTCCGACAGAGGGCGCGGTGGGCTCGCAGCGCGGCAACACCGAGGCGAGCGCCAACGCCAGCCAGTGAGCTGCGCGACGTCGCCGCGACCGCACACGCTGCTCATGAGGAAGAACCCCTCTGTGGTTCGAAACTAGTAGAGCTTTTCTTAGTATATTCCCGTGAGTAAACCGCGATTTTAGATAATTTAATTCCTTACTTTTATAAAAATACGACTAGTTTTTACCATCGACTGTCGGCGGTTTCGGAAGCGTACACTCTATATACTTGGTATATAACTAAAAATTCAACTTAACATTGTGTATTGACGGAACAATTATACTTTTGTGAAACAAATAATTTATAATTGAACGTAGAATTACTAGCACCATTTCAATAGTTTTTTTTTACAGTGGAATAAAATATATTTGAACAATCAGTTGTATGTGTCGTGTGGCTATCAAGCTATGCATATATCTTTACGTATATTTACCTAATACATTGAGTAACATGTCTAAATTTATAGAAATTGGTCCATTGGTTAATGTCGCAGTTAATTAGCCTAAAAACTATCAATTAGAAACAGCTGAGGACGTGATCTTTTATATTGTTAAAAATACATACGAGCACCCAAAATAAACTGTCAAACACTGCGAAGACACCGGTGACCGCTACCTATTGTTCTTTAATTGTGTCTATAATGACGGTACTCAAAGAGTGAGTTAATTGATACATACGACTTACTCGCGCGAACTGAGCCCCTTGCGGGTATGTTTCACGCTAACGCTATAGACACGCTTATGACGTTCGGTGCTCTGATTGACTGCTTCAAGTTAACCAACCAATCAGAAGGTGCACTGCTACGCTGCGATACGCTACATTACTCATGCATTTGCATCCCAATATAACTTGAAACCAATTGAGCATTCCTCGAATAAGTCATTTGAGTTTTTTTTAGTGGGGACAATCACCGAATGACTGCTCCCGCCTGGGTGAGGCAAGAAGGAGTGTCAGACTCTTACTGACTGAAAACTACCCCGTTCCTACTCCTGCACTCCGAGCCGGAGCCCCGGTAACCCGTTGGGTTACTCCACGACAAGTCATTTGAGTAAGCTGTATTTTGTAATTAATTTAGAGTGTCTCACGGTTATCATTATCTAAAAGTACCGTACTAGAGAGTCACCTATGTCAAGTTTACTATTTTTCAAAATATGAATACTCAAAAATATAGATAGTTTAAAAGGCTAATTAATCTGCGACATTATTACTTTAGTTTAGTAAGGGCTGACATTTTAATGATTTATTATTTCATATTATACGTTTAAATAAACCGACTTCGAACCCTCTTTGGGTTGGTTAGTTAATATACTAAAACCATCCTTGAGTTACACTTTCCTGAAAACCGCATCAAAATCGGTTAAGTCAATAGCGAGGTCATCGCGCTCATGCATACATACAGGTCAAACTGTGAACCTCCTATTTTTGAAGTCGGTTAACAAATACTTTTTTATTCATAGATTAAAATTAACTACTGGTAGTTTTTACATGGAAGAATTGTCAAAAAATCGAATTACATAATCAGCCCTAAGAGATCTAATTGTAATCAGGTACTTCCTGGTTATAGCGCAGTGGAGGTGACAGACTTCAATCCCCGGACGAGGATTGTAGGGGGCAGGTCCTTTGTGAATTCGTCTAGCACCTGAAAATGTGAGAAATATGTTATTTGTGAGCAACATCGAATAATAAATTATTATCATCAGGAGATGGTACAATATATAAAAAATCATCACGCGAAAAGAAAACGAGATAGAAGGATACAGAAAGTGAGAGAAAGGGAGATAGAAAGATATGTTAATCAGTTCATGTTTCTAGTATAATTTCATCTAGAGAGTAATTCTTTGACCAAGTCAGGAATTATACACAGTAAATGCCTAAATAATTTTCATAATTTATAGCATTAATGTACACTATACAGTCAACCACGTTATTTGGTACGCAGGTAACAAAATAACAATTAACTCAGTAAAAGCACAGTAACTATTGATTGGCTACTGAGTAAACACAAATCTTTATTTTCTCACTTGCATTTAGTTGATTGTTGTCAACAGAATTTGGAACTGTATCTCAAAACTATAGAGTTCAAAATCGAATGTTGATATCTATGCATAGCGTATAAGGTCTATATTAGTATGTTACCTTCAAGTATTGTTCGCAAATATTGTCGTCAGCAGAAGTGTTGGATAACTTGGGTGGCGCGGGCAGCTGGACGAAGGTCACTGCTGTTGCTTCTGAACTCCGTTGCTTTATTATATTGTTTACCCTGCAAATAAATAACATGAATTATTATTACTAGCAAACTCAGCGAAATCCGTTTCGCCACTAGATGGCTTCGTTTTATATAACATTTCGTTTGGTGATTAAAATCGAATTTTCTTTGCTATAAACCTCACGGACCCCGAAACCTTTCCAACGAATACAAAATCGGTTCGTGCGTTCTGGAGTCATAGCGTCAGGAAGGAAAACCCGACTTATTTTTATATAGTAGATTACGTGCATGCTAAAATAAACAGAATGCAGGTCCTCGAATATGTACAAAACAGTGACTGGCTCTTTCTTTCTTCATCAGCATCCAATACATACCTACTTAACTTAAGAGGGTTTGCCATAATCTCCACACTTGCCAGGCGAGTTGGAGATATCATTATAAACATTACATAACATCACCCTTTTATCACCGAAGAACTAGGCAGAGATGTATATTACGGCACTTAATGCTACTGTACAATGTAACACTCACTTTTCACTATTTATGATATGTAATAGGAGGTGAGCCTATTGTCATATACCGGGCACAATAAAGTACCTAGATGCCTAATTTTGATTGTAATGTCCGTCTGATAGATTATTTTAAATCATTAGACACGTATTTTTTATTTTCTTACAGAAACGAATACTTTCGACGATAAATTGATTTGAAATGTCGCGTGACGTCACTTCTATGTACATTTTATACGTAGAACGGTAGAAATGACGTTTTAGCCTCAACTACTAAACTTTGATTCGTTTTATTTGAGTATTATTTTATTATACAACAAAATAAAAAAATACGTGTCTAATATTTCTTCATTACCTAACTTATGGACTAATTATATTTTTAATTTTCATACCCTGTCATCATCCCAATTCCAGACAATTTAGCTTGACTTAGTACCAATACTTTATCATAGTAATATTAAATTAAGTTAGTTATTACACTTACATTTGCAAATAGCTGATAGGTACACGTTCATACATGCTGTCCTCTTCTTCGCTGTAGTATCGGTTGTACTCGTCCAGTTTCGGCCATTCCGACACCTGTAATGTACACCAGATTATACTTAATTTAACAATAATACGATGCTTTTAAAATAAGATGTTGGAATCATAAGGTCGTATATGTTGATAATTTTACCATTTATACGATTTAAGTTTATAAAATTTTTTTATTGACTCCATAGTTGGTGCGGTGGTTGGGCAACCGGCTGCTGCGCACCGTATCGCGGGTTCGATTTCCGCACGGGACAACTCTTTGTGTGATCCACAAATTGTTTTCTCGGGCCCGGGTGTCATGCGTATCAGAACTTGTATGTATGTCTTTACAGTATGAGTTATAGATACTAGAAATGGTTTACTCACAATGTGTATGGTAGCGTTAATCCGGAGCAGTTTGAGTAGTTTGTCGAGTCTCTCCTCCAGCGGCCGGCCGGCCGCCAGGGACTCTAACGCAGAGCGCTCGCCGACCGTCACTGTACGACCTGCTTCTGGAAGTGTCAGTCATATGTTACTTCTAAGTCGAAGCTCATAATTATCTAAAATTAGCACTCGTCCAGCTTTCATTTAGTGGCTATTAATTTCTGCTCTTCGTATTTTTTAAATGATGTCGTATCTGTAGCTTATCGGACAGTGGAAGTGAGAAAAATTTTAAGTTAAAAAATTATAACAGAAGAATCAGAAAAGAGACGCTGACATCATGTCTATGTTAAATGGGTAATCCACTAATAACAATGACATAAGTAATTCATGTAGATTAAATTAAAATTTATGTGAATTAAGCTACTGTAGAAAATACCGGTACGGTAACGGTATGTGTAGAACTTTGTTAATTTCAAGATCCGTGTGCTCCATGTACTGAGAAATAAATAACATTCATTCAGTCATTCATTCATTCAAATTAAAACCTTGATTTCCAAACAAGATTAACTGTACGTTGAAATACATGATATATACAGATATTATGTTGACATTGCTGAGGACGATGTTCGGTAGGCTATGTATTCTAGTTGACATGATGATGATAGAAGTATTAGAGCAAACGAGCAGACAAAACACCTGTATCATCAATTAGCGTCATCAATTTTAAAAAATAAAATCAGTATAACACAGTATCTCCATGTGTCGGGGATGGCGAGACGATCTCCGAACATAACAAGCACGGACGGCGAGCATGGATAATGGGTAGATCGCCGCTCGACCAGAACCAGACCCGAGCGTACGGTGCCGAGTGTTCTGCGCGCACCTTAAACTGTCAAACACCAAGCGGTCACCGGTGACCGCAACCTATTGTTCTATAATTGTGTCTGTTATTGACGGTACTCGACGAGTTAAAGAGCCACCGGACCACCACGCATGGATAAGACCCAATAGGACGGATAACGATACGGAGCCGCAGAGGACTTAACGGGTTGCTGGGGCTCCGGCTCGAAGGACAGGAGTAGGAACGGGGTGGTTTTTGGTCAGTAAGAGTCTGGACACTTCCTCTCGCCTCACTCGGACGGGAGAAGTCATTCGATGATTTCCCCCCTTAAAAGAAAGTACAGTATGGCATCCCCGCACCGTGTATGGCGACGCGCGGCGCGGGGCGGCCGACGGCGTGCAGGCGCAGGCGCAGGTGCTGCCAGCCGCGCGCCGAGCGCACCACGGCGGCCAGCTGCAGCGCGAACAGCCCGCGGACCGTGAACGCCTCCTCGCAACTGGCGCTGCGCAGCTCCACCAGCCACACGTCTATGTACTTCAGGGACGGAGACTTGCTGCAAGAAACAAATAAAATCTATTATTTTGCACGTAAACAAGAGACACGTATGTTCAAATTGTACAAGTATTGTTTCTTATAATAACCTTAGTAAGATCTGTTTTATGAGCCCCGGTGTATCTCGAAACTAGTCGAGTAGAGCTGAACCATTTCACTTCAACAACCTGTCACCGTCTACTGTCGGACGGTCACGGACCATCTGTCTGATTATCGTGCAGCCACAACAAAAATATAAAATACTAGCAGCCCGTCCCGGCTTCGCACGGGGTAGACAATTATTTATTTTTGGAAATTTGGATTGTTGTAGTGACATAACTACAATAGTTGGGCATTTGCTACCGCGGAGTTTTTTGTAGACATTATGATGTTCTTCAATAATTGTTGTACATTATTTTGTTATATCGCTAATAGTTTCGGAAGCGCATTCGACGAAAGACATTTGAAGACTAATTTTTCTACACCTTCGGTTACATTGTTCAAATTTTACCAAGGATCCCTATTTTTTTTCAAAATGAAATGTAAACTATATCAAATTGGAAGAATGTAGCATTCTATTGGTGAAAGAATTTTTTAAATCGGCCCAGTACTTTTTGAGCCTATTCATTACAAACATACAAAAATAGGTACAAATCTTTCCTCTTTATAATATTAGTATAGAAGTATAGATTTCAATGAAAATAATTTATTTAATTATAACTAGCTAACGCAGCAAAATTCGTACGATCTAAAAAAAATTTTCTCACCTTTAAACCTTCCCTGGTCTTCCACGAACATTTTAAGACCAAAACTAGTCAATTCGGTTCAGCCGTTCTCGAACTTCATTTTTATTTATATAGATAAACAAAACTCACCGTTCCACCTTGGCCATGTCCAGTTTATGGAAGTGTCGACAAAGACATACGTTCTTATTGACGCACAGTACGTCAGACACAATGCGCACGTATTCTGACGCGGATAGACGCTCGTCTGTCGGCTTGCGCGTTGGGAATATCGTCTCGCCAGACTCCAGGTCGAAGATATCCGTCTTGTAGGGGGAAAGGGGGCTGGAAAGAGGGAGAGAGTGAAATTATATTCTTTTATTTAAAAAAGTTTCGTTTGCTAGGATTATCTTCAGTGTTTATTTTATTTTTTTATTTAACTTTATGCAACAAGATTACATAGGCGGGCTTAATGCCGTGGGCATTCTTACTAGCCATTGTTGTGGGTGTGTTTTCTATCATACTCTTTGATATAAACCTTACACTGAGTCCCGATACAATGGTTTTTAGAAAGAGTTGGTCTGTACGGAAATCGAATCCGCGACAAGTTGCACACCGCTCAGTTGCTCATCTTCTTGCTCTACTACTGTACTAATCGTGCGTAGCTTTCTTCTGAGGTTAAAAATATCTCATAATATATTTTGAAAATTACATTTAAACTCAAACACCACACAGTCAATCACCAAGCGGTCACCGGTGACCGCAACCTATTGTTCTATAATTGTGTCTATAATGACAGTACTCGACGAGTTAAATCAGTTTAGTAGTCCTTGAGTTAATCGCGAACAGTCTAAAAATATTTTTTATGACATTTTTGTACAAGTTTAGCACACATTTCTATGAAAAACTTTTGATGCATATTTTATTTATCTTGTCAAACTAAGTAATAAAACAGCTTACTCTCTGAAGAAATCGATAGGTGGCGCAGTGTCCCTGAAGCCGAGTAGTACAGTGTCAGGCTTCATGGCGCCGAGCCCGGCCAGCCGAGCGAGCTGTGCCGCGCCAGACCGGACCGAGGATGATAGACTGAGCTCTACGAATGCTTTCACCTGGATAGACGACAAAATTTGCTTGTATGTCAGTGCCATATCAAAACCAGACCCGACCGCATTGATACCATGATTTCACAGAAAACTGGCATAAAACAACGCTTACGTTTAGTTGCGGCTCTAATTCAAAAAGGCCGGCAACGCACTTGGAACTTATCTTGTATTATACACCTAGCCTCACTGACGGACTGACTGACAGTTTATTATTTATTTTGTATTTGCTAATGTTTCAAAAGTACCAAAATATGGTTTTATTGCGGGCTTGACTTTGACTTTATTGCGGGTAGGTATCTATGGAAGCTGTCTGTTTGTCGCCCTATTCCATAAGATAACAACATCACGCCCTTTATCCCCGAAGGGGCAGGTAGAGGTGCACATTACGGCACTTAATGCTACTGTACACTGTAACACCCACTTTTCACTATTTATGTTCCCTGTATCCTATTGTATGTATATGTATTTTTTTTTAAAAAGCCAGTAATTCTTTGCCCGACCCGGACTTCAGTGTTCCGGTGTTTTCATGGTTGTATCTACTGTAGATCCTGGCTTACAGGAGTTGCAGCGGTTTTGGGAGGTTGTGGCGGGCTTGTCCCATTAAAAGAATGCCAGACCCGGAAATCGAACCCGGGAAATTGCCCGGCCAGTCGCACCTGCAACTACTCGCGACCTATGCCATAAGATAAGTTACTTTGTTCTATTCAGGCATTCCTACTTATGTTTATAATTTCTCACCTTGAGATGGTCAATCAGCTTCAACCAGTATTTATGCTCAGCCGCCAGCGGGTCTCCCGAGCCATCCAACTCTCCAACCCTTACGTGGCCAACCACGAACAGACCACCCTGAGAAATAATATTATATTATTATTAAATACAACATATATACTATCTATTGTGAGATGAATTATGTTGTACGCGCAGTGGCTTTCATTAAGCCTTAATAACTTGCAAAACTCTAAACTGGGAGAGCCATGCTTCGGCACGAATGGGCCGGCTCGACCGGAGTGATACCACGGCCTCACAGAAAACCGATGTGAAGCAACGGTTGTGGTGTGTTTATTCGTGTGAGTGAGGTTACCGGAGGCCCAATTACCCCCCCTAGTCTCCCGGATCCCCGAATCCTCCACAACCCTCAAATTCCCAATTTCCAAAAGGCCGGTAACGCACTTGTAACGCTTTGGTGTTTTCGGTGTCCATGGGCGGAGCCGATTGCTTACCATCAGGTGATCCGTCTGCTCGTTTACCGGCTTATGCTATATAAAAAAAACTTAGATATACTCAAGGCCTTATAATAATAGCTCCGTAGTGAATGTATCGCGAACACGCCGCGGCTGCGCAGTGAACACGTCGCGGACGCGGCAAATACATTACGTTTCCGTCACGTATTTGTAGCAAATTATCGCCGTACAATAATGGCGTCCACTTTGCTGTTCACGGTTCTTGAAGATAAGAATGCTTGGCAGCATGTTGGTTCGGCTCCACTGGACAATACTCAAATGTAGTCAGTACTTAGATTCCAATAGTAGGTAATTTAATACTTTCATTCTAATGTAGACGATCTAGTTTCCTTATGGCGTCAAGCATTTCTTTCTTTATCAAAACAAAGAGTTTCCTTTTCCTTGTATAGAAGCACTATTTTTATGGATTGTCCGTATGCATTGATTAGTGAGCACCATGTTAGACTATAAGATTTTATTTTGTTTTTCTTTTAGTAAGTTCTGTAATTAGAATAATGCGTAGCGTGTCTTTGCATTGTTCTCACATATATGTAAACAATTGGATAATGTACCAGAGAGATTGTAAAACATATTGTTTTTTAAAAGAGTAACGAATGGAGTTTCTTGCTTGTTCTTCTCGAACATATTGTCCATTCGAATCTACATTTTGGAATGATCGCCTAACTTCACTGACGGACAGACTGACATACGATTATTTAGTTTGTATTTGTTGACGTTTAAAAAGTAGGTACCAAATTATGGTTTAATTGAAATAAATGCTTTGACTATGATTTGCAGCGAATTCGCTGCGCATGCGCGGCGTGTTCGTTGTGTGTCAACGAAATCGTTGCGCGCCCGCACCGCTTTGAAGAGGTTCGCAATCCGCTAGTCTGATCAGGCCCTTAGACGTAACCACCTAAATGATAGTTTTAAAATATAATATATCATGGACTCCTAATTTAAACTTACCTTTTTCTGATCATTAACGAAGTCAATAAGTGGCGCGGCCTGTCGCGGTGATGCGATCAGTAACAACATCTGTGGACGCCAGAACTTGACGTGTTCACGTCGAGGATCCAGAAGTAGTAGGTATTTGCGGACCTGGAAAAGGAACATAGGAATGAGATCAAAATAGAAATTATTATTAATTAGTAAATTTATTGAGACTGGATGAATTCTTCGACTACAAAGTCGTCAAGGGGGATGGTGCAAGTGTAATGTTTTTTTTTTAAAGCGTTGCCCCACATTACGATTTTCTCCTGTGTCGTGGGTGCGTTTACAAACATACAAGTTGACATACACAATGACGCCCAGGCCCGAAACAACAATTTGTAGATCACAGTGTTGTTCCGTGCGGGAATCGAACCCGCGACACGTTGCACGGCAGCCGGTTGCCCAGCCACCGCACCAACCATGCAGTCGAATGTTATCATTACGCTAAGGAACACATCCCAAAACCCACCAGATTCGATGATGACAATCGACAAACTATTTGGAAATTTCCGTAGCATATTTAATTTTTTCACGAGAAGCTCAATAAGTTATCCAAATTTTCTTACCTGATGGAAAATGAGAGCCTGGCTAAGCGATCCCCAGGTAGGATCTGCAGCAGCAGGTGAGAACAGATGCAGGGCTACCACCAGCGAGCCACACGCCAGGGCTGCCCCGCACGAGTACAGTGCGCGCAAACCGAACATCAAACCCGCACACCCGAGGAGCCCGAGCAGTGACGTCATCCATGAAAATTGTTTGAATGTCGGTCTGTAACAGTGTAATCATAGTGACTTAATATTTATTTTATGGCCGTCAATTATCATATAACATAAAGAAAAATGATAAAAGCAGTATTTAAGTGTGGGAGAGCCATGGTCCGGCACGAATGGGCCGGCTCGTCCGGAGTGATACCACGGCCTCACAGAAAACCGACGTGAAGCAACGCTTGCATTGTGTTTCGTCGTGTGAGTGAGGTTACCGGAGGCCCAAGTCCCCGTCTCCCGGTTCCCCGAATCCTCCACAATCGTCAAATTCCCAAAAGGCCGGTAACGCACTTGTAACGCCTCTGGTGTTTCGAGTGTCCATGGGCGGCGCCGATTGCTTACTATCAGGTGATCCGTCTGCTCGTTTACCGGCTTATGCTATAAAAAAAAATTAACCATTTGCTGTTGATTAACCGACTTCAAAAAAAGAAAGAAGGCTTCTGTTTAACCTACATATATGTATGTTGGTCCGCGATTATCTCGCCATTGGCTGAACCTATTTAGATGCGGTCTCCAAAAGTGTATTTACACATTAATATTCATTTATAAATACTTTCTGATACTACTTCAAGAAATAAAACAACATCTACATATAAGTGGCCACTGCTGACCAAATGCCTCTTCTCACTCGGAGAAGGTGTGAGCATTAAACACCACGCTTGCTCAATACGGGTTAGCGATTTTAAATTTATTATTAGAAATTATAAGCCCAGGTGCCGTTGGTAGGTTTCGAATCCGCACTCTCATATATGAGAAGCGTGCGTCTTAAGCCTCCGGGCCACAACGATATTTAAGATATAATGAAATGAAATAATAACAAATCTTATACTATTATATAAAGCAAAAGCGTTTGTTTGTTTGTTTGAACGCACTAATCTCCGGAACTATAAGTCTGATTTAAATAATTCTTTTTGTGTTGGATAGCACATTTATCGAGGATGGTATAGGCTATAAAACATCACGCTACGACCAATAGGAGCTGAGCAGAGCGTGTGAAACCGCGCGGAAGTAGTACAAGATAAATAACAACTCACCTAAAATTCGGTGCAGAAGCCAGATCAAGTCCAAGACAAGCCAGATTAATAGCGAAGTAGCTGGTCATAAATAGTACGGAGTTGACTTGAGCTATGGCGTTCAGGGAGTCCGCCATGATGCCGATCTGAACCAGTAGCCATGATGTCAGTACAGCAATCACTGGGTTTCCGGATCTGGAGACCATTGGTCGGAGGAGGAAGCCTAAAGGAATAGAGGGTTCATAAATGTATTTATAAATCGTACGTTGGTATTATTATGTCAGTTGTAATCATTGCTAACTGCCGAGTAGTCGCAAGTGCGACGGCAAAGGGTCTCGGGTTCGATACGGGCCGAGCAAGGTACTACTGCTTTTTGTCATAAAACTCTCAGTAGTAGCACGGAGTCTGGAATTGTATCCGTTATATGGCAATAGGCTCACCCCCTATTACATGGGACTCATAACATAAATAGTGAAAAGTGGGCGTTATATTGTACAGTGGCCGTAATGTGCACCTCTGCCTACATAAAAGGCGTGACGTCATGTTATGTTATCTGTCCTACATTTGATTTGTTGAAGTATTGAAGATCTAAAATAATAAGCAATCAGTGTAAAAAATAATAATTACAATGTTTACTGTCATGCAATTCTTTTCACATTTTTTTTCTCAGTTATATTAAGAACAGCGAAATTGAAAATATTCCATATGTAATGAAGAACAACATCAACAGCCTATAATATAGGTGGCCACGGCTGACCAAAGGCCTCATCTCGCACTTAATCACCACGCTGGCTCAATGCGGGTTCGCCATTTCAAACTTATGATTAGAAATTATAAGCTTATGTGTCCTCACGATGTTTTCCTTCATTGTTTGTCAGTGGTGTCTAAATATCCTAGAAAGTACATATAACTCGGAAAAAGTCACATTGGTACTTGCCGTTGGTAGGTTTCCAATCCGCACCCTCATGCATGAGAAGCGGGCGTCTTAAACCTCCGGGCCACCACGACTCAATTTTATAATCTTTAAATATTGTTAAACAACTTACCATAAATGTTATCTTTAGCTAAGGCCTCCAGTACCCGTGAAGCGCCAATTAAATTTGACAGACCAGCAGAGAATGTGGCCATTAGCATACCTGGAAAAGTCATAAGTATTTTATTTACTACTATCTTCTGCCAGCAGCGGCTTCGGAATATTAGTCTATGTGTTGTTTTAGACTACAATCATTCTTCGTTCTTTTCATTCAAATCTATTCGACAGTTTTTTTTAGTTTTTAAACAAAAATGTTGCCCCACACTAGGTTTTTCTCCTGTGTCGTGGGTGCGTTTACAAAAATACAAGTTCACATTATAAACATGACACCCAGATCCGGAACAACAATCTGTGGATCACATAAAGAGTTGTTCCGTGCGGGAATCAAACCCGCGACACGTTGCGCGGCAGCCAGTTGCCCAGCCACCGCGCCAACCGTGCAGTCAGTGCAGTTTTTCGGTTAAAGAGTAACAAACATTTACTTATTATTTCTTTATTTATTTTATTTTATTATTTATCTATTTGGGAGACCAACAGCTATACGATTTGATTAAATAGAATGTGACAAGGTTAGTAACAGAGAATAGAAACATGACAACACCACACTAATTACTAATAAATAATTAAACTACAGGTAATCTATAATGATGCATAAATTACTCCAAATATTAAGGATAGGTATGAACATACATCCTTACAAACTTTGTATTTATAATATCAATAGGATTGAGCCTAGCATAATTAGGAATCGTACGATAGACATTTTCTATGGATTTTCTAGGCCAATGAGCAGACGAATCACCTGATAGTAAGCGATCAGCGCCGCCCATGGACACAACACGAGAGGAGTCAGAAGTGCCTTACCCGAGGTGGTACATACGGCTACACATCGAGCTTTACATAACCAGTGTAAACTGAACGTTAAATGTGGGGAAAGATGATGCGACGCGACACCAGGATACACTGGTTTTGTATAGATTGATGTGTGGCCGTGTGTACATGGTTTTTCTTATGGTGTTTTAAAACACTGTATTGTTATAACAGGACTTACCAACAGCGATAAAAGGTGGCCATATATTAATAGGTAGGAGATAAACGTAGTTATTGATGAGCAGGTCCCTGGTACACGTGGCGGCGGTCAGCAGACTCAGTGCGATGTACGAGATGAAGGTAAACAGTAGTGCCGCCAGGGTACCGAACGGAATACTGCGGGATGGATTCTTCAGCTCACCTGGAGAAGATTATATTAAATTATTTTTATATTTAAGTAAAGTGACAGTACACTGTTGGATGGTCTTGATATACTGGTGTTTCCCGTTTTCACAAACCTCTCTTTATAGTTTAAGAAACCCTTAAGCCAAGGCATTTAGACCTATAAGTAACACCTAACGGAATAAGTAAAGGAATAGTTTGGGTGCTTATTTTGATTACGACAAAAACTCATGTACAGGTAGACTCAATACCTTGGGAATTAACGGCGGGGCCGTCGCCGCGATGTCGTACAGCCATCGCCGCGACCCCGCACGCTGCTCATGACGAAAAACCCCTCTGTGGTTCGAAACTAGTAGAGCTTTTCTCAGTATATTCGCGTGAGTAACCCGCGATTTTACCTAATTTAGTATGTCCCACGATAGTACTATAAAAACATCTTGGGCATTGTCTGACAGTCGACTTTTAGGTGGTGCAGAGATGAAAGTGGCCAGTATTCACGCTACGTAACTCTTTGGTAAAAGAAGGTGTACAGGGGTTGGTGAAAACGTCCATAAAAATGCTATCATCATCACCAAATGAAATCACGACAATGTTATTATTATAAATTCTCATAGAATATGTTCAAATACGATAGGTTTTATTAACGCTTTGTCAAAAAAGCGTGGGGTTTACACAAAACTGGGCCTTTAGCCAAACGCCACTTTAGCGCTCGTATACAGAGAGAGTAGAAATCAAAATGTATGGTGATGACACTGACAAGTGTCAATAATTTGGTTTTCTATTCTACATGTAGACAAACGCTAAATGGCATTTGGCTACAGCTGCTGGGCGTCTACTACTGGGAAAACGAATTTATCGAAAAAATCTATACCTACATACGTTCCTCAAACGTTCACCTCTATTCAAATAAAAGCTTAATAAATAGCAGAATTATATGTGTTTCACGATAAATTGTATGTCATACAAAAATATTCTTTTTTTAAGTGGGGAAAATCATCGAATGACTGCTCCCGCCTGGGTGAGGCGGGAGGGAGTGTCAGACTATTACTGACTAAAAACCAACCCGTTCCTTCTCCTGCACTTCGAGCCGGAGCCCCGGTAACCCGTTAGGTTCTCCGCGACACCGAATCGGGTAAATTAATGTATAAGTTTTTAAATGTGCAATCTTTTTTTGTATCATTTTAATGACAATAAATAAAGAAAGTAAAGAAAAGGGGATTTAAAATAATGTTACAACATAAAAAATACCTTCTAACAGCCATTCCTAAAAACCCACATTCATCTCATCCTATTAACAGCCATTTTCTATAACCTATCTATCTGTAGATTTGCTTACTGAGATAGAATTTTGACACATTTTATATGGAGCTTATGTCGTCGAAAATGGCCGTAAATAAATAGAAATATAAACTAAACTTACCGCTCATGTTAGCCCCCGCCATGACCCCAGTGACCCCGGTAAATAAGACCCCGAACACGGACGCGAAGTCCACCATCTGTCCGTCTGTGGTCGTATAGTCCCGGCCGTAAGCGGGGTACAGGTTGTCATACAGCGTGGTGGAATTTAGACCAGTGTAGATAAATCCTGTGATGTTCACTAAGTGATTGGTGTCGGGTTTTGGAATCTGAAAAAAAAATAGAGAATATAATTTAATAAAATATAGGAGGCACCCTACGTGAAGCTGACAAGCAAAGTTGAAAATGGTGACGTTTCTTTATATTAACATAACATCACGCCTTTTATCCCCGAAGGTGTAGGCAGAGGTGCAGATTAAGGCACTTAATGCCACTGTACAATGTAACACCCACTTTTCACTATTGATGTTTTGAGTACACCATGTAATAGGGGGTGGCATATTGCCATAATTATACCGGCCACAATTCCAGACTCCGTGCCACTAGTGAGAATAAAAAAAAAACAGTAATACTTTGCCCGATCCGGGAATCGAACCCGAGACCCCTTGTCCGGCAGTCGCACTTGTGACCACTCGGCCAACGAAGCAGTCAGTTTCTTTATACCTATTCTGATTAGTTTGGTTGATGCGCTGGCGCAATATTTATATTGTTTAGTACTTTAAGTAACAATAAATTACCGACATAAAAATAGTTATAATAACGGTTATACTTTTTAATTCTTGAAATGATAATCTTAAAAAAGGAATGATGATTATTTATTTTTGTGAGTAGGATATAAAATGTTACTTCTGAAGGTAGGAAGACATTTCAAACGTCAAATAGTGTGGGAGAGCCATGCTTCGGCACGAATGGGCCAGCTCGACCGGAGTGATACCACGGCCTCACAGAAAACCGACGTGAAGCAACGCTTGCGTTGTGTTTCGTCGTGCGAGTGAGGTTACCGAAAGCCCAACCCTCCCCTTCCCCAATCTCCCCAATTCCTGAATCCCCAGCGATCCTCAAACTCCTAATCCCCAAAAGGCCAGTAACGCACTTGTTACGCTTCTGGTGTTCCAGGTATCCATGTCCAGTAATATCCTCAAAACATACTTACAGTATCCATAGGAGTCACAAAGAAGCTGATGAAAGCACTGCCCAGGCAGATAACCATGCTCATCCAGATGGCTAGACTGGTACGAGCGAAGAGCGAGGCTCCGGCCAAGGACACTCCAAGACCGATGGCATTCAGCCCTGAACGGTACATGAAGCGGTACCACCAGCCGTCTGGGATACCCGTGTTGGCTCCTACCAGATACCCTATAAAAAAGAAAGACAAATATTTAGGCTCATACACAGACAAGATACACATACAATAGTAAGTCACCACAGCGCTAATACTTATGGTATAAAACATTACATAACGCCTTTTATCCCCGCAGGGGTAAGCAGAGGTACAATGTAACCCAGCAGTATTATTACCCAGAGGTTAAAAACCCAGTAGTATTATTTAGCCCGACCCGGGAATCTTGGGCATAGGATCTCGGGACCTCGGGTTCGATTCCTGGGTCGGAAAGTATTACTGGTTTAAAAAAAAAATCTCAGTAGTAAGACGGAGTCTGGAATTCTGCCCTGTGTATGGCAATAGGCGCACCTCCTATTACATGGGAAAAGTGGGTGTTACATTGTTCAGTGGCATAATGTACACCTTTGCCCTTTCGAGGATAAAATGCGTGATGTTATGTAATATTTGTACATTACAAAGCTCGTGAAATGAGTTTAATAACTTATTAACAATAATTACTTATGTTTTACAGGCTTACAAACGAATACTGAAGGGCTCCCCACCCACCACTCCCCGCACACACACAATACCCACTTACCATTTTGGCCGAAATTTTCGACCAGGGCCTCAGTACACGCCGATATGCAGAGAGCGCTGGACACCACATTCGCAAAGAAGAACAATGTTCCCACCGCGCCACCGAACTCTGGACCTAACGTTCTGCTGATCATAACTGAGCCAAAGCTAAGGGTATTACTTTAGTAACTTCTATTTTTTACGCTTACTATATGACGATGGTGTTCGATAACTCCACTGGCTACCAGGTAAACCTACTTTAACATGTCAATGATTTCATTGAATTTTCGACTATACAGCAAAACAATAAAGTTGATAATCTAATAAAGAAAGATGGAAAAGACTAAGTTGAATCTGCAACTGTATTATTAGTATATATGCAGAATCAAATAATAAGGATATGTAATTAGAATATTTTTTATACCTAGTCCTTTCCATCGTCGTACCACAAGACAATCGGCGAAGCGTCACCGATTCATGGTAGATGTCCCACCTACACGCACGAAGCGCTTAGCTTCAAGTTTCCTTGTGCGTACTGCTAAAGAGTGGAATTCTTTGCCAGAGTCTGTATTCCTGAGGGTATAACCTGGGTGTGTTCAAGGCCCGAGTGAATAAGTTGCTTATGAGACGACGTGCTCCATCGTTTACCACCAGGTGGGATAATAGTCAAACGTCGGTCTATAAAATATATATAAAAAAAAAACTATTGTGTCCTTAACCAAATTTGATGAATAGGGAACAAGTTCCTGTCAAGGGACAGCACTATAATCAGATGGTTTACAGCTGACGATGATGATGATGATGTTTTGTAAAGGATACAGTATACACCTCCACCCTCAACAGCTCCATTGGTAGATATCGCACAGATTGATGTAACCGTGAATATTACAATCAGGTAGGCCAGCCCGAACTGGCCGAGGGTCACCAGTAGACCTGCGTTGCCCACCAGGTACCCTGCAGACCAGAATAAAAAGAACTTTTTTTATGGAAGAGGAGGCAAACGAGCAAACGGATTACCTGATCCGCAACACCAGAAGAGTCACAGGTGCGTTGCCGGCCTTTTAAAAAGGAATACGCGCTTTTCTTGAAGGTTTAGAACAGGGTAGATGCCTAATTATTATTTTAATGTCCGTCTGGTAGATTATTTTAAATCATTAGACACGTATTTTTTTACAGAAACGAAAACTTTCGACGATATATTGATTTTAAATGTCGCGTGACGTCACTTCTATGTACATTTTATACGTAGAAATGACGTGTTAGCCCCCACTCCTAACCTTTCATTCGTTTTATCTAAGTATTGTTTTATTATACGACAAAATAAAAAAAATACGTGTCTAATATTTTTTTATTACCTAACTTAAGGACTAATAATATTTTTAATTTTCATACCCTGTCATCAACCCAACTGTACTAGTGTAATACAAAATTTTGTCCAACAGTTAGATAATGAAAAAGTGTCCGAGTTTACACAAACTTCAAAAAAGAAGGAGGCTCTCTGTTAGGACTTTATCCTGTTTGTAAGTATCTTTGTCCGCGGTGATCTCACGGCTAGCTGAACCGGTTCAGATGCGGATTTCACAAAAGTATTTGTTACATTTAGGTATAAGATTTTAGTACCTACTATATTAATTTACCGACTTCCAAACAAGAGGGGGTTGAAGTCGGTTATTTTAATCGTAGTTCGTAAAAGAATTATTCGATGTATTTGACTGCACGGTTGGTGCGGTGGCTGGGCAACCGGCTGCCGTGCAACGTGTCGCGGGTTCGATTCCCGCACGGAACAACACTTTGTGTGATCCACAAATTGTTGTTTCGGGTCTGGGTGTCATTGTGTATGTGAACTTGTATGTTTGTAAACGCACCCACGATACAGGAGAAAATCCTAATGTGAGGCGTTTATTAAAAAAAAAATTGTTATAGTTTAGTAGTGGGGGTACCTATAATTTAGTAGATTTTGTAAGTACCCACAAATTTAATGACGTTATGGTTTTATTATTTTAAATCAATCGAACCAACGTATTCTAGTAAGTTTTTATTCCAAATTACCGAAAACATCCGTTTAAATGACATTTATTTGACCGGGATGTAAGGTGGTGGCTCGGAGAGATCAATTAAACACGTGTTGTCCATTTGAGTACGATTTATTACTGTCCCAACAAATTACAGACGTAGTTATATAAAGGCTAATCAATACACATGATCAATACATATAGCCACACTACAGGGATTTCTATATTGTTTTTTCTGAGTTCGATTCGAACCATGCCTAATTGCCTATATACCTATAGATAGACATTGTTTATTGCCTAAAAATGTCGCTGTTTACCTCTTGAGTTTACCAGGCATGACGTCATTGAAAAAAAAAAAACAACAATTCTCATAGAATTTTGCACTTAACAAACAAACTATACATAATTGTGATCTGCACCGAAGTGACCTTGCCTCTGAATCACACGCCAGATAACGAATTAACTATAATTATACAAGCACGAGCTTATTATTATACGTGTTTCTTATAATTTATATTAATCCTAACATATAAAAGTATAAGTTCGTTCGTTTGTTTTTTCGCTTTATCATAACAACTAGCTTTTACCCGCGGCTTCGCTCGCGTCACAAAAGGATAAAAAGCCAATGTGACATATACCAATACACACAGCGCCATCTATACCAATACTTTTGTTTTCCCTCGGGAATATCAAATTTTTCCGGGATAAAAAGTACCCTATTATTTAATCCGGACTTCTAACTATACATCTGCAAAAATTCAAAGCAATCGGTTTAGTAGTTA